ATGTAGATTCATATGATATGAATATACTTAAGAATAAAATATAAAATCAAGAGACATCATTTATTACTAATACATTAATACTCATGTAAAAAATAAAACTCAAAGCTTCATATGGAACCTTTGACCAAAATAATAATTTGTATTGTTAAGAATGCCAAGCTCTATACCTCATCACAATAAAATATAATTTTTGTTTCTTTCCAAGCTTTAACCACACTATCTTAGCATGACTACATTACAATACAATGAGGAAAAAAATTCACAAGATTCCGAGGTCTAAGAAAGTGACTTTTGAGTTCCTCTTGAGTCTTATTACTGATGCTGAATAACCCATTATGAGTCATGTTATGGTAATTTCATTTGGTCATGGTCCTACGTTGCTCATTAAATTAACATGAAATAAGATTATATATGGCCGAAGTAATAGCAAAAAGATGGATAGATCTCTTCAAACCTTTCGAGTGTTATCAAAGGGATAATCATTTGCTTAGGCAAGTTGTATCACTATGTAAAATATGTAGTCTAGTTTTAGAATTTCATACAAGCATATATAATTGGGTTATGCAACTTCACTCATCGCCCATCCTAAAAGATAAGTAATCAACATCTCTTCAAAAACGTTGACCCTAGCATATGCACCCATCACATTACTAAAAGTAATACGAGATCCAGGATTTCACATACAGATGTGTACTAACACTAGTCAACTGTAAAGTCTACAAACATTCAAAGTGAATACCATGTGCATCCAAAGTAGTCAACATTCCCACGGGTAGCATCAAATTGTAGTTATATGGATATAGAAAACGTAAACTCATCGCTTGAGAAAATAACATGCGGTCAATCAAGACCATTAAAGTGATGATGTCAATGCGGAGTACCCATTGTTGCAGACGGCGATCAGCATGTCACTGAGTCCATTGTTGACTCGAAAATTGGGAGTGGGAGTAAAACTTAGGGCTCCTTTCGTGGGCGAGAAAAAAAATGGAAACTAAGTTGTGGAGCCAAGAGGATGGGAGAGGGAGATAAAATAAGTCGAACATATCGTTGGGTACGATTCAGGCCATTTTTGCGGCTTACAAAGTACAGCGCTTTCCCCTCCATAGGAAGAAAGTTTATCCCTTGAGAATTTCAGCTATTATCTTGTCCTTACATATGGCCCATTTTGGTAGGCTCGGGGATTTCCTTTTATACACTGATTTGCGTCCATTTTGAAGAAGAGTCTGCACAGTGTTTTGGCGGCGTTCGTGTCAGTGTTCGCCCATCTTTGAATTCAACCTCGACCTCTGTTCACGACACCAGGACATTTGAAGCACTGCATCCAATCCGCTTTAACTACCACCGAAGTCCTGCACTTGAGCATGGTGGACCATGTCCCTGAACGGAACAAACTGCTCTGCTTGTACGCAAGAGTCCGGCGCAATACTGTACAGCGACGCATGGCACCTGCCTCCGGAATCTCAACCTGGTGGGGAATCCGGAAGCGATTTCACAAATCCTGGATTTCTCGAAAGATTTTCTCGAAATCTGGTGAATCCGGTATACAAATAAGAATTTGCACGCGAACCATGATTGGGGTAAATGAGTGGTCCAGATTTTGGGAAATACGACGTTGTCCTGTCCGGCACTAACCACGTACACCAGTGTGACAACTGTACAGTAGAGTGGGGAGGAGAGCAGGATACTTTCAAAGAAGCTTTGGAATAATGTGGTCAACCGCGTTTCTGGAGGACTGCCCGCGGCTCACTGACGTTGTCCGCGGACGACTGAGGGAATAAGAGCAGATTCTGCTATCGGTGAGGTTACCGGCTAGATTTATATAATATGTGTTAGAGATAACGAAGGTACAGAAGAGTCGGAAAAGACAATTCTGTTTCTACACTGACAGCTATTGTCCGCTGTTAGTTGTCAAGGCGTCTTTACTCCTTGAAAAAAAATTGATTTTTTTGGTAATAAAATAATCCGATAGATATATTTGGATTTGTAAATTTTGTGATACATGACATAGAAGCGGGGTATACATTAATGTCACTTAGCATCGTTCAACGTGTAGACATGGGTGACTACAGTACAAACATGTAGTAAGTCATTGCACATTTATAAACCAGTATGATATGATATCCACTTGTTTATTATTCGGAATCACTCAAATAACAAATACTACTATCAAATGCAAATAAATTTGAGGTTTGATCTCAGTCTCAAGTAACTTACTTGTCACAAAGTAGTGAGATAAAAGATCATGATCCCAAAGCAATGATAACTTGGATAACAAGTTCTCACAATGATTGTGAATATTCTTGGTGAATATTCACATATTCACCTCAAGCTGCTAGATTGCAGCTCAAGACATTGGAAATTAAACGATGCAGAAGCGGGACGACATGCACATTCCAAGGGCATATGAGGTAACCGGAGACCAACCGGCTCGATGGTGGCCACGAAGGCGACTGTCGGGGCCATATTCGTGGTGAAAAGTCAAGAGAGCCGGTCATGGAAGACGACGTACGCAGTTTGAATCTGCCGGTTCGACGCATCGATATTGACGGTTGAAATGGTCGTTCAAAGTCCCGCGCCACGGCTTCGAGCTGGAGGGCTCTGGACACGGTCAGACCTAATTTGCAGGTTTGGAAGGTTAAGGTTCTGTGGGCATGATTCTAGAGGTGCTCAGACGAGGATGCAAATCCCAGATTCCCTGTCTGGCAATTTTCAATTGGCTGTGCCCAAATATCTGACAGAGCTAGATGTGGACGTCTCCAATTGTGGTCGGTCGGGAGGGTTTGGTGTCTAGTGCGTGACGTGAGCTGTTGGTAATTTCGATGTTCTGCCCTGCAACCTCACTTCGAGACGAGATGGTCAAGGGCGATCGGTCTCCAAACTTCCAAGCATCAGGAATTAATTGTTGTAATCGCTCTCTGAAAGCACCAGGAATTAATAGTTGTAATCGCTCTCTGAAACTGGCTCGAGTCTTTGACACCGCCCATGCTGCGTTATGCATGAGTACGGAAGAGTTGTGAGCTGCCCATTATAGTACCGAGCGCATCTTGGATGGATTCGGCTTTCTTGAAAACATCTTGGTCTGGGTCTTGAATATGTGCCTCTTCTTCTGCCCGGTCAAACGCATAAATTATCTTTTGGGAGGCCGTGGTCGTGCAAGCCGGAGTAGGTCAACTCTACACAATGTCCATCATTGATGATACTGAATGTGCTTCGTTGGTTTTTCTTTTTTTAAGCGCGATTAGTATTTCCGTTGCTTTGGTTTTTTCTACGGAAAAGGCAAAAAATTGGGATGAGTGAAAGGTCGGTGTGCTCGACAAGGAGATTTTGGTTATAGTCCAGCGTTGGCCGTGATCTACTGCAGCTGAATGCCTCGGTTGCCATCCAAATAGAAAATGGAGGACGATGAAATATCGATTTGTTGAAGAGATGATGGGTTCAAAGTGTCACAGTGCCTACGCAGCAAGAAGAGGGCTAAAATTTATGATGATTCACCTAATTCCACCGGATTGTAGTGGATGAGGAAGTATGTAGTGAAATCTCGGGTCGACCAAGGTACAAAAGGCCGGTGCCTTTCGTTCAAGGACGATCCACAATGTAAGTTTGTGTGTTGTCTTCACTGCCCTCCTTCCAGATATCCGGGAATCTATACATTTTGACCCGCTAGACAGTGTCGAAAAATAATTGACCTCAGAGCCATTCTCATTCACTGATTGTGGATAAACTTTGGGAGACTCATAGATTTTTGAGGAGTACGTTCCTCACGCTACTCGTGGGAGATGGTGCCTAGTACGGACGTTTTGTGTAAGTCGAAAAGCCACACAGATAAGTCTTCACAGACTCGATGATTTTCGAGGTAGAGTAATTTCGGTGCAGCCACACCATCGTGGGACCTGTGTCCCCATTGACTCATGACAGAATCATGAGCAGCAAAGATCTAAACCTTGATACTAACTAATTTAATAGCTTAATCTTGACTTGCTAAGTATTTTACTATCCGATCGTCCAACAATCTTTGTCCTACTTTCGTATTCCTCCGGGTTCCTTCCAAATCACCAAATTGGCCCCTTAACATGCGAGCCAGCAGAAGAGACCATCTCAGGAAACATTTCTCGAAGAAAAGGCCAGCTTCGATCCAAAAAATAGACTTCTGCAGCACGAACTTGAAATTCTTCCCGGACCCTGTCAACGACGTTGACAATGCTTTCCGATGCAGTCTCCAAGTCTTTGATTCCGTTTTGAAACTTCAGGATCTGAATCTCCCAAATTCTTTCCCCAGTTCTTGACTCGAAACGAGCTCACGGCAAGTGAGAATCATATCAACGGGTAGAAGAAGCTCATGAGAAAATCATAACTCGTGCGTAGGTCATAGTGTGGACCTGTTCTTGTTGTGGTTGAGGGAACGAAACTAATCTGGACCTTTTAGCCTCAATTAAGGGTTCAGTCTTCAAAATGATGTCAGATGGTTGACTGCATTAGCTTTAAGAAATCAGCGTGATCAGCTGAAGTTGACTCGAGTGTGAAGATCTCATGAAGGCCAGTGTAGAGTTTATGGAGACGTGAGATGATACGTACTCAGTGAGGAAGCTTCCAGCCCAATTGGTGAGAAAGCAGCAAGTACGACTGCCGTACTGTACAGCATTGACTTTCACACAAGTAAAAATTAAGGCATTTCCACTTGCACTTACAGTCCGGGTACACTTGGTGGAGCATTTAGTTGGCTGGTCGTACTCAGAATGACATTTTGTTCCGTTCAACTCCACCATTCTGGTTACTGAGATGATCTCCGTGAAAGTAGTTGGCCGAGGTTTCAGACCAGGGGATATTTCCCGCTACTGATGTCGACAATGGCAATTATGTCTTGGATAGAATATTCCTTCAGGAACCGTAATCCATGACCTATTTGGAGTGCATGTTGTTCTTGGAGTACATTCCCTGGTAGTTCAGAAAAAATTGAGAGACAAGTTACCTGGTGGTGGCTTTGGCTGGACTTCTATCTGGATCCACAGGTTTCGTCCGAATGTCCTGAGAGCCCCATGCCCCCAGTCTTATGAGATGGAGGTTGAGCTCGGTAAAGCCCAGCCGTGCATGTCTAGCAAGTCAATGAGCCTCAAGTACGGGGGTTTTATTTCAGAGTGAGGTGACATGAGTTATTGACGTCTCGGTTCTATCAGTTTTCCACCTGGATGCGCATCATCATCATCAGCATCACACTCCACTTTGCTCGGGTCCAAGATGCGTCGGTGGAAAGCTCAAATCTGGTTGTCACCCATACAACTGAAGAGCTGAATCCCACCAGGAGCAACGGCTGTTGAGCAGCTGGAAAAGTAGCTATGATTTCTGGATGTGGGTCTCTGACTCCGTTCCCACCATAGGTAAGGAGTGGTGCCAGTGATTCATGAGGGACTGGCAGGCCCTTTCCGTCAAAGATAGCAGCAGCTGCAGACATGTCTAGGACTCCTCCGAGCAGCAACTTCCCCGAAAATGTAGATTTGATCTTCGAATGCGAAAGGTGGGGCACATCTGTTCAAAGTCGGCTCCAGGCAGGAACGGCAAAGCCTCCGTAGACTTTCCGCCATTTGTACGAGGCATCTGAAGATTATTTAAACATATGGCATCAGGATTGCATAGATTTTGAAATGCAGAAGGAAGTGCTCACACACACCGCTTATAATTTAAAAAAATTGCAGACTCCGAAGCTTCGCGGCACCGTAGCTGATTGACTTGGAGGTTTTCTGGGACCTCCCGGCGTGCTCGAGTCGTTAGGGCATGATTTGCGTGCTCATCCATCCACCTACAGCTGCATTGCATTGATGTGAAGTGGGTCGTTCTGGGCTCGGACGAAATTACGAAATTTTAGGATCTGACGGAACATGAAGGGCGTGTGGTTGGTCTAGGGCTAGACGCATTCAGAAAACTGAGGGTTAAAAAATAGGGAAAACTTCAATGTCTTGTGTGCTCAGTGGAGGTCCATGAATCTCACTCGCTCAATCAGCTGCAATGCCGTCGTCATTGCTCTGGTAATACTGTCCACCGTGATTGTAATATGGGGTACAGGGCAGGTGCGAATAGACGAAGGCCCATTGCGCTCGACAATTGGAACGATCGATCACAGTATTAGACTGTTGCCACTGCGCCTTGACGCCATTTTCGTGCTCACCGGGGGCCAGACTGACGATGGAGGAGTTCCTCTGTGGGTGGCTAGGCGACTGGACAGAGCAGTGGAGTTGCAGAGAAGTCAGAGTGAGCCACTTCCTCCAATTGTCTGCGTGGGTGGAGGATCGGGAGTTGTTCCCCCAATTCTCACGGCGGAGAAGTTCGTCATGCACGAAAGCACTTCTGCTGCCAAGTACTTACACGAGAAGTGGAAAGTCAGTTTCAGTTCGTTGTTGAAGGTGAGATCCACATCTCTTTTATTACTATAAACTTTGTGGGCGGGTCTGTGTATATTTGACCGGCCATAAAACTATTATCAATCGAGTGAATTGATGAAACAGGGATCTGGACATAACGTATACATCGTCGAAGCGTATTTGTAAAAATTTATTTCGCTGAGGATGAGAGGGGTGATTCTTGGACGATGTGAGTCTGAGCACATATGACATTTGTGCCGTCGTCTAAGTATTGTTGGATCTCTCTTCCAATTAGGAATGGAGTTCATATGACACAGAAGGAAACGCCTACTTCGCCCTCACACAACATGCAATTCCCCTTGGGTGGCGCCACATTGCCATTGTAACCTCCGAGTTTCACATGCCTAGAAGCAAAGCAGTTTTTGATTGGATATTTGGGCTGCAAGGAGCTGGAGCAGGACATGGCTTGTTGCACGCAACAGATCCTTCTGGGGTCGTGCTTAGGCACGACCCCAGAAGTCAGGGATTTTGGCTCGAATATATCAGTGTGAGCGACGAAGGTCTCGATGCAGAAGCCCTCAAGGTAATCTTTGCTTACGCGCTTTTTTCTCACAAAACTTTTCAAATGGTTCGATTTGGACAAAAGTATGCAAGCTCAGAAGATAATAGAATATCCAAATGCAAAGAGCTGCTAAAATTTGTCGGCATCACTACAGTGGTTTCCAAACTTATATAGAGAAGAAATGAACAACAATGTTCGGACCCAACTCAATTTCCTGCTTGGACTGTTTTGTAATTGTAGACCCGAGTAGCTGCCGAGAAACGGAGGTTGAAGAGAATCAATGGCCTTGCACAGCGAATACATACACTGCCACAGTTTCACCATTATCTCTTTGTTGAGAACAGAATATACAACACGGCAAAGCAACATATTTTCGGCAAGGATGGCGCAAACATGACTACTGCTGGTGGATTGTACTGAACGTAGACATGGTGATATCATAACTCTGAAAAAATCCAAACCAATCTTGTAATTGCATGCTTATAATGAAATTGTATAGTATACTTGTAAATATTGTCTGCGTGTTCTATCACTAAGCGGCGGAGATAGTGGTTTCCACGTCAAGAAGCCCCCAGAACGTTAACCTGTAATCTCTCGGACCGCCGGGAAGTATCTGCATGCATCGGTGCTCTCGAGATTTTAAGATGTGAACTTAAATAGATCTCGAGCAAAGGCTATTCTACACAAGAGTTGCTTGAAACATCCGTTCATTGTTCAAGTAAGGATGCATTGTAGTAGTTTTAGATACTCTGTTTGAGTTGCGAAGTCAAGGATGACATCTTTCAGGAAGTTTTGCATCTTTGCAGGAACCTTTACCGATCTAATGCCATCTCGGCTGACTTTATATCTACATCGATTGGTTGTCACTGTCATCGTTACCGTCCAAGACTAACCGATAACGTCTAAAATGAAAGTTTCGACATGGTACTAAGGGTTCCGTACTCAGAATGATGCCAGTGGTACGTTTTATCTATCGTCTTGCATTTTTGGGAGCTAGCGATGTCATGATCGTGATTATAATAGTTTGACGTGATTTGTGAGTGTGGAATTTGAGAAAGATTGGATTGATTTACGTTTATGGAATAACTTTGGAGGTTTCAGAGAGAAAACAAGTGTAGAACTTTTCAGTAGATCCACTTTTTGGGCTTACAACGGCGGTATACATACACCGTTAGGCCATAATCGTTATAGTCCAAGAGGAACCGTCATCGAGTAATAGCGTGAGAGATTGTTAGTCTATATGCGTCAACCAATTCACTCATTCGAAAATTTTGCATTTTCAATTTCTATCATGCCATTGTTATCACGAAAATGTAATCGTTAGTTTCAAGAAACGCAAGACAAAAGCAAAACAACTGCCGGCTTTGTTATATTGCGAACCCTGGTCTCAACCCTGGTCAAAACCTTCATCTTTGACGGTAAAACTTTCATAAACTACGATATACGAAAAGCTAAACGTCCTACCGGCCTCTTTATTGAAAGCCAAACCGCAATCCTTCGTCGAAACCCTTCTCATTTACGTTGAGAGCATAACGTGTGTACTTTTGATGGATGTCGAAATGCATATGATCGAGGTGGCTCTAGTGAAGGAAGGGAAGAAATTCGAGTCAAACCATGAGTTGGTCTAACCCAATTTTTGACCTCGTGAAGAGCTGATCTCGACATGAAAAGCTGGAGGTGATGTCGAAAGTGCCCAAACCGACGGGCTGAACTGACAAGAAACTACAGATAAGTGATGTACTTTAGGGTAACGTACTCTACAGGAAGATATTGATTTATGAACAAGACACATACTATTCACATGTACTGTAAGAGATTTGAATGTACATGTAGATAACGTCGGAGTAATTAGCTTCTGGGTTTCTGGTATGTGATTAAGCAACTCGATGTCGAATCAGGAATACAGCTCATGTACGGAGAAAAGAATGACCTGAATTCTCATAAATCAGATTCAAAAACCGCGAGCTGTAAGAACCCAGACGTCGGCAACATAGTCTGTTAGGACGTCGGGGCTGTTCACGGACAGGATAAGCTGAAAACAAAGTATTACAGTTATATTAGGAGCCATCCAAGAGCACAGCAAGAATCAGAGACCGATCCGTAGTCATAATTGAAGTTGAGCTGCAGCTAGGAATATGTTTCGGGGTCCGAACGTGATGAAAGAGCTCAATAAACTCTCCATAGGTTCAACGATCTTTCAGCAGACCGATCAGATGAAGGAGAGGTTCAACAAAGATCTCCGGTGTTGTCAAAGTTTCATCAATAGATTTTCATGATGGTATTAACAGCTACATATCAAAACCATCAAATGACCCGTTGTATTTTTGATGGTATCGACAGCGAGATACCTGAGAGTGAATTGGAGCACAAATTCTAAGTAGCAGTGGAGAGACGGCAAGATGAAACAAACTGTCAAGGTGTAGTATGCAGACCTCAACTGTGATTGACACATGGGTCTGCTCTCGGACGACTTGGGGCTTGAAACTACGTTTCAACAGTCTGGTTTGCAGCATGCCTGTAGATCTGGGCTTTCAGCAGTGGTCATTTGAATGACGAAGGGTGCTTCAAGAACATATGGCGGCATTAGTTGATGAATGTTCAGTGAATGCCATCTAAAACATGTTGGATCGATTTCACTGCTTTCATTGAGGACCCAAGAGCCTGTAGAGAATGCCCATTTCTACCAGAGAAATCCTCGATGTGTTCAAGCTGAGAAAACGAAAAAGGGACACCAAATGAGGACTTTTCTTGCGTATACAGAAACCAGAATTTTTGGAATCTAAAGCATGTTGAAAAACTTAATCAAGAGGAATCTTGAATGTTGAATATGGAGATTATCATGGGCTGAAAATTGATGAATTATGTTTGCAGCCAGAGAAATGTATATAATTATTTAAAAACACACTCCCTTGACACATCCGACCTTAGCTCAGTTGGTAGAGCGGGAGACTGTAGTGAGCACTCAGACATCTCTAGGTCGCTGGTTCGAATCCGGCAGGTCGGACTACACATTTTGAATTTATTCCTTGTGTCTATTTTCCACTGTTTGACGTCTAGGTAACTCAAGCCAACTTGCAAGGTTTACCTCACATAGATAATATGGAGCGTTTTGGTTGAATACGGAGCGCCAAAAAGGTTATAATGGATGTGTTTTCACCAAGGAGAGATTACAACATGCGCTATGTAATAGATCAATGTATTGAATCGATTGGATAAGTGTAAAGTCAGGTTTTGTTGTCCAAAGAAATTAGCTACTTGATTCAAAGGAAAGAATTACTTGTTGGGGACCCAATCAGAATGCGTAAGTCTTGATGGGACCCAATAAATTTCTATTTTACCCGATGGATCTTTCCAGCGTCAGGTCAGTTCACCGTCACCAATGTTTCAATACGAGTTCTTGTAATTGCTTTGAGTACGAATTAGTAAAAGCATTGCGGCTCATTGTTAAAGAGTGACTTCTCCGCTCATGCAATTCACGGGCCAAAAAAATACGCAACTTATGTGACTTTGGCTAACATTTTTAGAAAAAAAGTAAGCAGTATATAGATTATGCCCATACATTATAACTGTAAAATCATTCTCGGATAAATTGGCATCTTGCATGTTGAAGATTGGTAGCCATGGGAAATCTGACTAACTTAACTTCGGGAGATTTTTTCAAGCAAGTTGAGCACGTGATGCAAAAGACTATTTAGAAATAGACTACGATTAAATGTTTGGTAGTAAAGATTCCCTTGGAGTTCCATATTCAAGTTTTTTTTACCTCTAAATTCTGGGATTAATAACTTTTTACTCTGAGTTGATTATGACAAACTGTTTTCACACTCTAGTGGGTTAACTTGTGGACTACGCGTGCGTGGTCTCTGATTTCAATTTTGAAAACTTTCATTTTTTGACGATTTTTGAGGCTAAGTGTTAAGAACTATTAACACTGTGAGCGCTTTCTGAGCATGAGTAGCTTGGAGAAAGTATTGAAACTTGTTCCAATTATTGCCAAAGGTGCTGGACTCCTGCATTTAGACGACGTTAGTGAAAATTCAAGCTTTCTTTCTAAGGATCTTTGTTGAAGTCATTCTAGAACATCATCAAATTGAGAATCGGCCGATCAAACCTATGGCGCTGTCTAAAGTTGATGAACCGAGGTTTGAAGTTGAACGTTTGATGGCCGTACCGACTATCTACTATGGGAACGACAAGTCAAGAATGTGATCAAAGCAATGGGCTTGGGGAAGATTCTCAAACCGAAACCCTTGAATGTTGATGACGAGGATTGGAATGAGATTCAAGATAAAACTATGAGTATTGTGACTCTCTACTTGAAACCTAATGTGTTGAAACAAGTTGATGAGTTGGAGACTGTGACAACTATGTTTCAAACGCTTCAAACAAAATATCACATGAAGGAGTTGTCAAATCGGCTTTTCACATTGTTAAAGCTGATGAGCTTCAAAATGATAGAAGGTACAAAGATCCATGACCACATTGATGAATTCAATGATTTGTTGGTGGATCTTTTGAATCTGAATGAGGATTTGAGTGATGAGAAAAAAACATTGTAGCTTTTAAGTTCCGTGCCAGGCGCATATCACACTCTATCTCGTGTGTTGCTTCATCAAGACAAAGAGAGCATCACATACAACGAGGTTGTGATAGCTTTGTTAATGTACGACATCCAACAAAAGCTGGTTTCTTCTTCAACACCTTCTTCTTCTTCTACTGCTCTCTATGTCACTCGTGAGAGATTGGAGAAGCAATTCACAAACGTCAACAAGTCGCGAAATTGGGTACAAGTTAAGGGATTTAACAAGAAGGAGATGAAGTGTTGGAAGTGTGACAAGCTGGGCCATATGAGAAAATATTGTCGTAGTAAGCCGCAGGAGAAGAGAGAGTAATATGTTGGTACCTCTGCAAATATTGCGACCAACAATGATGAAGGCTATGTCATGTGAACCTATTCCCTTACTGAGAGAGATGAATGGATTTTGGACTTTTCACTTGCTCTTTTCACATCTGTTTTATCCGAGAATATTTTACAATTTATGCACCATATCAAGGTACAGTCTTAATGGGAAATGATCATTCCTATAAGATTGAAGGTATTGGATCCATTCGGATTCAAATGTTTGATGGAAAAATACTAACATTGACAAATGTTAGATACATTTTTGGTATACGTAAGAATTTCATTTCACTCGGAAAGGTCGACATGAGAGTCTTTCAATGGAAAGCATATTGATGGAATTCTCACGGTTGAGAAAGGTGTTAACGTGATTTTGGAGGGATCTACTTTTCTCAATGAAGCCAATGCTACAACATCATTGGAGTATGAAACCAATTTGTGGCATGCTCGTCTTGGCCACATGAGTGAAAAAGGTATTAATATTTTACACAAACATAATTTATATCCAAGTTTGAGGTCTTGCAAGCTTGAGTCTGTAAGAATTTTATATTTGAAAAGCACACGTAACGTGCTTTTGGTACTGACGTTCATAGTTCCAAGACAGTTCTTGAATATGTTCATTTTGATGTGTGGGTCATTTCCCCTGTTGCTTCACATTTTGGGAAGGAGTACTATGTTACTTTGATTGATGACTACTCAAGATATGTGTGGATCTACTTTCTTCCACGCAAGTCTGATGTCTTTGTCACTTTTAAGATGTGAAAAGCCCAAGTTGAGACTTAGACAGAAGAAGGTGAAGTTCTTGCGATCGGACAACCGCAGGAAGTACGTGTCTCAAGAGTTTGGCGCTTTCTGTGAAAACAAGAGAGTTACCCGCCACTTCATTAATTTTTATGCTCCACAACAAAATGGCATGTTTGAGAGGCTCAATTGGACGCTATTGGATAGATCATAGAGTATGTTGAGCCATGCTGGTTTACCAAAGATTTTTTGGGCTGAAGCCATCAATATTGCGGCTTATTTGGTAACCTGATTTCTTGTAGTGCAACAATTTACAAAACTCCGTTTGAAATATGGCATAAATGAAATGCTGATTACTATTATCTTAGAGTGTTTGAATCTGATACTTATGCACATGTTTCCAGGGAATCGAGGACTAAGCTCAATCTCAAGACTACCAAGTGTATTTTTCTTGATTATCAGCGCGATGTCAAAGTATATTCGGCTTTGGATACTCTGTAGGCTGTAAACTTGTCGTTAGTAGAGATGTTTCTTTCAATGAGTCTAGATCATCAAAAGAGGGAGAGATTGTTGATCCTGCTTCTAACGAAGGTCATTTACCTTCCCCAAACATTATTGAAGGGGAGATTTTTCATGAAATTTCTCATGATGAGCCACAAGGAGGTGCTCCACAGATAGCGGGCGAGGCAAAAAAACAAGATTTTGTTTTTGAAGAGTTCCATAAGGAGCAACACATTGATGGTGAGCCACCATCTGAACCAGCACACAGTGATCAACTAGAGTTTTTTACTGCAAGACCAACATGTGTTCGTCTTGCGCCCGAAATATATGATTACTAGTTTCTTACTGAACAGGCTGTTAGGGACGAGAAGCTACTTGTTGATGACTCAGGAGAAGCGTTGATCACGGAGTATGAAAGTCCGTCCTCTTAGACTGAATCTCAATCAGTCTCGGAGAAGCTTGATTGGGATGTAGCAATGTGAAAGTAGACGAAATCACTTCATGACAACCAGACTTGAGAACTCGTGGAGTTGCCCAATGGAATACGAGCTATAGATTGCAAGTGAATCTTCACAATGAAGTATAAATCTAGTGATGCACCTGAAAAAATCTTCAAGACAACATTAGTGGCCAAGGGCTTTGAACAGCGAAAAAACATCGACTACACTAAAGTTTTTACACTAGTTGCTAATTTTTCAACTATATGCTTGCTGTATGCACTTGTTACATTATTTGGTCTATTACTCGACCAGATGTATGTTGTTACAGCCTTTATACATGAAACGTTGGACAAAGTGATTTACATGAGACAACTAGAGGATTTTTTGAACAAAGTAAAGGATTGTTTGGTTTGTCGGTTGCTTAAATTCTTGTATGGACTTAAGCAAAGTTCTCAAAAATAGAACAAACATTTTGATGAGTTCATGCATACGCAAGTTTTTATACGAAGTGCATATGACCCTTGTGTGTACATGAAGCGTGTTAGCAACACAAGTTTTGGCTTCATATTACTCGTTCTGTATGTAGATGACATGCTTATTGCCGCTAAGGATATGTATGAGATTACTAAACTCAAAGTTTAGCTTAATTCTGAGTTTAATATGAAAGATTTAGGTACTGCTAAGCGTATTTTAGGCATGAAGATCCACATGGACGAGTCATCAAGCAAACTTTGATTGACAGAGACGCGGTATGCAGAGAAAGTACTTGCTAAGTTTAACATGTCAAATGCTAAAGTTGTAAGTACTTCATTAACTGCACACTTTAAGCTTTTGGCAGCTTTATGTCCAACTGATGCAACTGCTAAAGGATTGATGTATTCTATTACTTATGAAAATGCCGTTGGTAGCATTATGTATCTTATGGTACGCACTAGACCTGATATAGCATATGCAATTGGGAAGGTGAGTATGTACATGTCAATTCTCGGACGAGAGCATTGGGAAGCTGTAAAGTGGATTATGTGATATATCAAGGGTTCTTTTAATACTGGATTATTGTTTGATGCACAATCAAACAATGCAAGTTTGCTCTTGGGGTATGTTGATGTCGATTATGAAGGAAATTTGGATAAGCGAAGATCAACAACTGGGTATGTTTTCACTCTTGCTAGTGTATGCATAAGTTGGACATCTACACTTCAAAAATACATTTCTGAGTCGTCCACAAAAGCTGAATACGTTACAGCAGCGGAAGCAACGAAGGAGACAATTTGGTTGAACAAGTTGGCTACTAAAATGAGCTGTCACACAATGATGTGGCTGTCACAGTGCGCTCTTACTGTGACAACCAAAGCGCACTTCATCTAGCATTAAACAATGTGATGGATGGTAGGTTAAAACACATTGATATTCAATATCATTATATCAGGCAATCAATGTCTAATAGTGCACTTAAGCTCATCAAAATTGGTGATAAGCTCAACCCTGCCAAAACATTGATCAAAGTGATTTCAGTGAAAAGTTTTTCCAAGCATTGTGAAAAGTTGCAAATTTTGCATAGGGATAGTTAGTCCAGTAACTTTTGTACATGTATTCTCCATCCGGTTTTTGCAGGCTATGGCTTAGTTTTAGTTATCTCTTGGCTATAGAGTAAAAGCGTGATTTAGCTTTACTTTCTAGAACTTCCCGCAGAGATACATGTGGATTACATTAGTTAACTCTCCAAGATTTGAGTCAAGGGAAAGTTTGTTAGGTTAATTTTATCTTGGATTAACTCTAGTTAGTAATAACCATGGTTAGAAAGTTAATTGTGGTTAGGTTAGTTAATATGTGCACCTTATCTCTTCTTGTATAGAAGATAGTAGTAGACACTACCTACATACATTTCGGGATGGCACTAGAGAGAGTGAACATGAAGCAGTAGAGCGTTGCTATGAAGGCCGTGTATAAATCTATGCTTTGGTGAAGTTTTTGCTCTTGCCCGTTGACATAGCATGTGGAAGTTGAATTACGTTATATTGATGTTGTGATCGTCGTGCGCGCTGATCGATATGGATTTTTAGGCCTTTCAGATTGTTGTGTGTTTGTGATACTTGTTAAGTGCTAACACCAAGAAATATTTTAGAAATGAAAATTCAAAAAAAATTGAAAATTTATGGGAATGATATTTGCAAGTCTTATTATGAAAAGTTTTAAATTCATGATTATTCCTTTAGCTCAATTTCTACTTCAAACTTTTGTAAGCTCTAATATATGATATGATTAAAAATTTGATGCTCAAGATTTACTACAAAAAGTCAATAAATTTTTTTAAATTTGTGATGATTTGCAATAGATTTAACATTTATATGAACAATACTAATGAAAAATACCAATTGCAAAACACATATATTGAAAATTTGTGAAGAAAATATCAGACATCTTAGTATTATGTTGGATTTTGACTTATTGTTTGATATGAAATTGTACAATGTCAAAATCATTAAACAATAATGTACATGCTGACTATGGTCAAAATTTGTATGAAAAAATTTAAGTACTTGTGAATACATAAGTTGAAGATTTATATTGCAAAAATGAATAGCTCAGTACAATACATAACTTAAGTTACATAGTGATAGCAAAAATCTTCAAATATTTGATTTGATTAAACATGTTTCTCTTAAAGATGAGTTGAATATTGTTATATTGTGATTCTCAATTGTGACAATTAGAATATACTGTAGCTAGATATGAATCAGATCATAGATAATATTGTCAACACATTGACAACATGTATGATCTTTTAAAAATAAATTATGTGTAATAAAGATTAGTTGAATATTCTGATTTTCAATTGTGACAATTAGAATGTCTTCTAGCTAGATATGAATAAAAAAAATAATAATATTGTAGCATGTTGACATCATGTATGATATTTCTAAATACATTGTGTCCAATAAAATGACTATTTTAGTCAAAATTAGCAATAAATTTAATCATGTTGATGATGTACAGATTTACATTTGAAAATTTTCAATACATCAAACCACATTGTTAATTATGCATATGTTACAAGTAAAGTAGACAATTACAACTCCTAAATCTACTCATGATTTTATTTCATCTTATTTTGATTAATGTTTAATTCTAGTTGACTTAGATATATAGAGATCTATGTTAGATTCTTCTGTAGAACTTTTGGCAAAGCAATCACATAATTAATAGATATTATGGTACAGTACTCAAACTTTTTGAGTAGAAAATTGTTAGATGTTGACTTAGATGGGGTAGCTTCATTGTATCTAACTATGTTGAGTTAAGTTTGTTAACTAATTATGACTATAAATGTTAGCACAAACTATCTAAGACACAAATTCAGTAAATAAATCTAAGTGATCCATAGACATAAAAGTATGAGTAGAACATATATTCACTTTGGAGTCGTTCTCACGCTGTGATTTACAATCTTGTAATACATGGAGTGAAGTAGATGAATGATAATAAGTAGTTCTAATATAATTTCAACTAGATAGAAAACTCAAAAACTCCAAGCTATATATTCTCATCGACTTGTGTAAGGGAGCATTGTTTGACTTCATTCGCCAACATGTACTGAATCCCAAAGATGTGAAGTAAACCATACAAGTAATATGTTTTCATCTGCTCGACCATGTATTATTGAGTTAGCTAGACATCAACCACTGGAGCTTTCGATGAAGTACATTAGACAAAATGAAAAAGATCCACTGCGATGGTCCGACCCCACCGGATTTTTTAGTTTAAATTGACAGAATATAAATATAACACTAGTTTGTATAACTATCTCATGCACGAGAGTACAATTGTACACCAGACCAATCTTCGGTGTAGAGAGTTTATTTTACTACTTGTATAAATCTTCACAAAGAATTTAAGGAGATATGGAATGACAATATTTTTTTCTAGACTCCTTGTGGATAATAAATGTGATTGAAATTTTTACGACTATACCGATTAATAACATGTCATTCATTGTGTATCAAAGATATGATTGAAATCACTATGACTATTCGCATTAACAACACGTTACTTCCAACTAATATACTCCAATATTCATCTAACGATTTACATCTATAAATAATATATTACCACTCAACTCGATATGTATTATTTCATCTTAATTTTACTATGATGTTTTATAGTTAGCTAAAAATATTTATAACAGCGAGACATGAATCTCAATGAGGAGGCAAGGATTTATTTTAAATCATATCTGGGAGCCGAATTAACAAAACCATGCTTTGCAAATCTAGGTCTCTGCCACATGTTGTAGGAGTTCATACGGACACGATGGAAAGCAGAGATCGAGGTAGCCTGATGACGATAAGATATCCATGTCAGTTCAGTGCTTTCGAGCATGCACGTTTCAAAGTCTGCGGGTGCAGTTTCCTCGAGCTCCTCTCCTCAAAGGGTGGAGATGAGATGCGATTGAAAGAGGGCTGTCAAGGTTCACATGGACGTTCTCTGCCCTAGCCTGCATGTCCGAGACTTCGAGTATCTCCATCATCTCGGCGAGCATCGAGCAAGCCAACATCGAGAGAAGCAGAGTAGAATTGCGTCGAGGGATGGAAGAAAAAATCGGGTATCAGCAACTGGGGTCTGTGATCGGACCCCGTACGTGTACAGATTTTGAGATGTTTCTGTCTAGGGTTCTGTCCTGTCTGTAGGCCGCCTTCGATTCACTTAGTTTACTCACATGGCTGACAACGCACTGACAATTCTGGTCAAAATTGTGTATAAGATTGCCAGAAGCAAATGGGTCAAAATTGAACCTGACGTCATATGGTCGCGACCCTCACCGGGCTGGAAAGCACGAGTAGGAGCTCTCGTTGATAGTCTGTGTGATACACGGCGAGTTGGTGTGAAAACTGAAATTCGGAGATCGTGAAAAGTGCAACGCAGGTTACCGAGAAAGTTCGGATGTGGGAATGCAAAGATTCTTTCAATCAATTGACTGATTTTGAGATTTGCTCGTTACGTCTTCTCTACGTCCCTGTGATTTCTCAGTATTCCTGTAATTCAGTGCATTCTCTTGCGTTCTACGTTTCGCAGCAGATCCTCTGAAACTGCTTCGACGGAAGCATCCACAATCTGAAATATCATCTGGCTGAACAGAAACTTGAGAAATGAGCGCACCCGCAGTTCCATGCGCGATTGTGTCACACTCCTTCACCTCCAAATACATCACCAACATCATCTACCCTTCGTCACTGGGGCCACATGGAATTGCGTTCAGAGATTCTCCAGTAAAGCTTGCTCTTATGAAGCATACTGCTTCGAACCGCAGTAGGAAACCCTAACGATCATTCTATGTGAGTGGAGCTCGAGTAGGGTGGTGTCTTCTCTGTACCCATACCGAGTCATGGTCTTTGTCTACTCTGTCAAGGAGCATCCAGACCCAGAACGACCTTTCGATTGGTGGCACGCATTCTCTGCAGCTATGGCGGACGCTATTTTCCTGCTAATGCTCGCACCCTCTTCATCTTCTCTGCCCTTTTGATCTCTTCCTTTTCATCGTACACTTTCCAGAGCATTTCAGGCGGCTCTTTCTTTTGGTCCGGGGGTTCGGAGAGTTTCTCCTCGTAAGTTTTCTCCAATTTATGTTTGAGCTTGTGTCGTCTGCCGGGGTGCAAATTCCGGACTCTACCGAGAGTGGCTTCCGACTGAATTTTCTTCAGAAGAACTTCGAACTGATGCTTCTGAAGAGCTGCTTCTTTCTCCTCCCGGGTCGCCATAAATTCAGGTGCGCTTCATGTTGTCTTGGCACAATCTTCTCACGACCCGTCCTCGTAATTCGCCTCCAGCTCGACCAAAGTGCGGCCTGCGTTGCCAACACCACGCCGCGGCGAAATGACGCAAACCCCACGATCATCGGGCCCTACATCGATTGCTCTTCTCTCGATGCAAACCTCCAGGTTTACCGGAGAAGCCGATCGGCCCTCTCCGCACCCAACGCCCCATCTGTCAACACCAACACGGACATTACGAAAACCTCGAAGTTGGACTGGAGCGCATCGTTCTCTCCCATCGAAGGCAGATCGGATCGGAGTGCAAGCCTTCATGACCGAGGCTCATTTTCGGCGATTTCTTGCGCTCGGGAAAACGTGTAGGAAGCCGAAATCACTAAAACATAGTGATCGGTTTTGTTTCTCGAGTACCGATTACATCTCTTTGTGAATGAAGTGTGAAAGGGTGAATTGTATTGAAGTGCCTATCATGTGGAAGTCAACTTGATAGGCACGGGGATTGTAAAATTCTGTGAACTGTAAAAATATGTCAAAAATTATATTCCATGAAGAAGGCAACATACAATATCGTGCATGCTTGCTAGAACAAGAGCGCAAGTGAGATTTTGTGTTACAAAGAATGACTGATTTCACTGAAAAGGTATAATGTAAAATCTATTGGAAAATGAGTCCCTTAGAGTAAACTATAAATCTCTAAGTTCTACAAAGAAAAATATATATCAGATATTTACATGACGAAGTGCTATATAAATATATATTCATGTGTCGAAGGAATATACGTAAGAAAATATAATCATTTATCTAGATATCTGGCATACATATCAAAATATGCTTATCTTCACTAAACGATAGCATCCAACTGAATTACTTAGAATTCAAAATTAATGATTAAATGTATTCTCCACTCCACAAAAAGAAGTTAAGCCCAGGCAAAGGTATAAAGTGAGTCTAAGAAAACACTAGACGTAATCTTTCGTGAGATTCAGAGACCAAGCTCTCTCTCCAGCTGCAGTCCGGTTGACGGCTAGCGAGTGGGAGGTAGTTTTGAGAGGTTTCAATTTTAGCACCGTTATACAAGTGTTAAGAGATCTAGGGTTGACATGGAGTTCAGATGCGAAGTGGAGAGCTTGTGTTTACAGCTGGGGAGAATTCTGAATACCTCTAGTGTAACAGATTTGATGATAGGCTATTGCAGTTTGAGTGCCAGATGTTTCTTGAATCTCGCATCAGAACTAAGAGCAAATAGCGAATCTAAAGTCAAGTCTTTACAACTATAAGACGCGTGGGAGGACTCGAGTGCGGTGAAGCATGTGGCTGACATAATCAACAGTGCTCCGCTATTAGAAACATTGCGGTTATACGGCAATTCGAACCGCGCGGACGCCAACATGGAAGAAGAGACCGTCGGAATCCTGTCCCAGGGTTTGATAAAGAGCTCTTATTTGAAACTATTGGTTTTAGGCGAGGTGAAGTGGGGCCTTGTTGCTAAAAGCATTGGCCGGAGCTGATGGCAACCGATCCATTGAACGTCTTGAGCTGGATAATATGGATAGAGTCGGAGACTGTATACGAGAGCTTCTCACTTCCAACCCATCATTGAAGGAAGTGCAGTTGCTCTCCTTGCGGATCCGCCCTGAGGTATGGTACCAGCTCGGCGAAGACATACGTGACAATGCTAGAGCAACAACTATAAATTTACAGTATTATTTAGACGAGAAGGCTGAAGATCACTGGAAGTCAATAAAAGCTCTTGCGTGTGCTGCTAGCTCCGATGTACAAGACCCCAGAGTGGAGCTTGAACTCTCAACTTCGAGTGACCATGAGTTGATGTTGTCATTGACCTACCCTATTAGGTAGGGTACTGAGGCGGGAAATCAGATCTCCAAAATCTTTCAGTATCTCGGCGAGACATCCTCGCACTTCAGGTACCAACCAAGAGACAATGGAAAGTATTCTCCCGATGAATGGAAAAACTGGAGAAAATTCAGTTCTCAAGAGTCTAGCATTAGGTGATCTAACCCGAAATCGTTTTAAGGGAATATGGAAGCAACTATTTTGGTGCTTGCGTGGGAACACAAAACTCACTCACTTGACTTTGGGTGACGCCAAACTCGACGAAGAGGTGTTCAGGTGCTCTTTCAAGTGAACTTGATTCTCGAGAAAATAGATGAGCCACAAACCCCATGCGCAAGGGACGGAAAGGCGACGCAGATTCAGGAGGGCCTCACTCAAGTAGAACCAGAAGCCAAATTATCATTTGGAGCTGCAAAAGCTAGTCGACTCTTCTTATGCAGCTCTCCTAAAGCAGGTAAGATGCGCTATAAATTCTCAGTTTTTCTTCAAGGTATGCAAACTAGCAATCTAAGGTGTTACTATTCAAATATTAATATTGAATTAGTGAAGTTTATTTCTCCATCTAGATATATTTGTAATTGTGATCAAAATGAAATGAAAGAAAAATAAATACAAATACAGATTTATTCAATTCATAAATTAGATTCACTAAAAATTTCAAAGTTATGATGTAAAAATCGGAATATTGTGTCAAGTATTTATTTAAAAACATCTAAAGTAACGAGTGATATTTGTTGTGTATTTTTTTGTTCATCCGTAGGCAAGACTCAATTCCGTCAAACCCTGATGAGGTTAATTCAAGGAAAAAGTTGGATTGGGAACAAATGGGCATTGTGGAGAACCAAAGGCATTGAAGTGGATATCTTACAAAACAATGAGGAAATGCAAATCTCAGTTTGAGATCTTGCAGGACAATGGATTTTTTGAACCCTTCAAAAATGTGCTCTTCTGCAAACCATCAATTTTTGTGTTTTACTTTGTGTATAGCCCCTTCTGCAAACCAGACTCTTGATTCAAAACTGAGTTGGGAGATTGGTTGAGTTTCATTAGATCCAGCTTTAAGATCACGAGACATAATCTTCCCCAAGTTCTTGTTGTGATTTTAGACAAGTATACAGCAAGATCTAAATCTTTGACTTGGGCTCACTCCATAGTTGACGAAATCAACAAAAGATTTGCAATTTTTCTGATCTTCACCCTATTGAATTCATCAATCAATTGAATCATTCACTTTACTCCCTGGAGTAAAAGCTCATTGGGCGACTCAATTACAGAATTTATCCATACATTTGAAGACAATGGTGAGGGACAGAGTAGTCATGAAAGCACTATTCTCGACCCGGCTCCCCTTAACGGTGATGATGATGTCGGATCAAGGCCATTGCAATGATCCAAGCTCGTGTATCATTTGATATAATTTCTTCTATTTCTGAATTTAAAGACAATTCCTCTGAATTGTGGATTTATCTGCGCACTTTCTATCACTCTAATAATGATCAGCGGCACCTTATGCGAACCGAGACCTGACTACTTGCAAGCCTCATGCTCCTATGACAATCAATGTTTATCTTAAGACCATACAGATGCTCAAAACATAGCTTGCCGCTATTGAACATCTCCCCTCTGATAATGATCTTATTCACTATACACTTAAGGGGCTCCTCTTGTCTTGGGCTCCATTCGTCTCAAATTTCAGCAGAAATCCGCCACCAGGCTTTACTGACTTCATGTAGGGCTTGTAGATTGACAACACTTGGATTATCAGTCACCGAGAAAAGCTTATGCGGATGCAGTCACTTGATTCTCCCGAAGCTGTGATTCCCAAGGTAGTCTTTCCAATAGACTGCCACACAATATTTTTTGAGATGGAAGATGTAATTCTAATAGGTAAACTTGATCAAATACTTTATGTAAATGTTGTGGTAGACTGAATTATTGTGAACAAGATTACAATATCAAAAAGCTGGACGAGTAGATTTTTCAACTCCAAATTAGGGCCTCCAACATGTCGTGCGATAAGGTGCAATCTAACGTTGTTCAAGAATAGGGGGATAGTGGGAATGACTCGGTTGACTATGAATTGACAGACTTAAAAGCGAATATGGCAATTAGAGAATCACAACATTACCTCTTAGATTTAAGTGCCAGTAGTCATGTGATTGATGACAAAACTATACTCATTTCATTTTCACCTACATGTTCTCATTCTGGAGTTTTCATCGCCAATGGAGCTTGTCTAGCTGTTGTTGACAAAGGTACGCTGCTTGTTGATGCAAATAAAGAGATAAATAGATTGCTTGTTGAGACTTCTATGGCCGACAGTATCCGCACACCAAATTGTAGAGACTTCTCCCCAAGCCTCACATAGTCAACGAGGATCCACTCCAACCCACGCTTAAGATACTCTCATCGCAGAAACAACCATATGACCTACCTAAGTACTCCAATTTTGTGAGTTTGGCAGAGGATTCTCCAAGTCAGAAATCACATCTTCAGATTTCATTGATTTGTGGCACCAGCGTCTGTGTCATATTCAACACCAAAAGACCTACCACATGATATCTAAGCGTTTTGTTCACGATCTCCCTCTATTCGCCATCGTCAGTGTGAAGACTAAGTGCTGGCGAAGCAACACAAGGCTCAAAAATCCAAAGAAAGCAAGAAAAAAAACTACGTTGCCTTTAAAACTTGTCCACAACAATTTGTGTGGTCCCGTCAAATCAAATATTGACTTCAAGTAACTTTTGACCTTCATTGTACATTAACGATTATATACAATTTACTGGTATTCAAGTGAAACCTTTCATCATTTTAAGCAATGAAAAATTATATTCCCATTGAAGTTGCTCCGGTGTGGCACATCGAGCACAATTGTTCACCACGAGTCTCGTCACTTGGGACTGATTGAGGGGTTGAATACATCTTTAGATTTCTTGTAGTTGAAATTACGGAACAAATAAACCATCAAATAACTTCCGCTCAAGCAATCCAAAATCCACTCTGTAAGTAAGCCATGCAAGAGTAGTTCGACTTCCTCATTGCCTAATCTGGTAACTCCTGACATTTCCAAAAAACAAGCATGCTCTATACTCTAAGTGTATCTTTAAGGTCAAACTTCAATTGGACCTAAAGTCTCTGAGGTTGAAAGCTTGTTTAGTTGCACTTGGCATGAAACAAAGCTTTGACATCAATTATAACAAAACTTCTGCGCCGGTTGTTTGCTGGTCAACCTTGCTTGTGTTTATCTCACTCTCAGTATCACTTGGGTGAAAATTACATCATATGGATGTTATTATTGTGTTTCTTAATGAAAAATTGAAGTAGCTCATTTATGTGAAACAAGCTTTCAATTTTAAACTCAAAGGCAAGGAAGATCTAGTCTGTCTTATTAACAAATCAATTTAAAGACTGAAGCAGTCTCCAAGGCAATGGTATGAAAAAATAGACAGCCGTATCAGGTCTATTGGCTTGAGTAGAAATCAATTGGACCCAACATGTACTTACTCTGTGAATGCAACACTCTTCTCTGGGATCTCTCCAAATAGATCACGTTCTTGAAGATGACATTGGTATCTCACCAGTCAACGTCTCAAATTATTGTCAAATTATTGTAAAACTAATATTTTTATGCCACAATAGGCCATATTTGTCATATGCAATTGGTGTGATCATTCGGTACATGCATTCAACTCAATAATCTCACAAAGACTTTGTTTATCATAGCTTTTGGTACATCAAGTCCACTCAAGACTGTGATATACTCTAACAATGCCAAAGTTCAACGTCTCTTTTGGATTTTTCAAACGCTTACTATATGAGCTGTCGCACCACCCGCCGGATTGTTGATTCTTACTTATTCAAGGTGTCCAATGATCCCATCTCTTGGTACTCGAAGCAACAACTTATCTTCTTAGATAGTACAACAAAAATTGAGTACAAGGCTTTGTCCAAGACTGGTAAAGAGGCGTGTGACGATTGATGGCAGAGCTCCAAGTCAATCCTTTGGATTCAATTCCCATTGCATGTCAAGACTCCAAAATACAAGCTAAACTAAAGCACGCCAACAATCCAACCTCGGCCAATTTACATTTGTCTTGTGACAATCAAGGTGCATTAAAACTCGCTCACAATCCTATATTTCACGCAAAGACAAAGCATACCGGAGCCAAGCCTCACCTTGTGCGCGAACGAGATTTAGAAGGGAAAATTTGGCTTGATTACAGACATATAGACAACAATCCAGTGGCCCTTCTTACAAAGTCTCTAGAGCTCCATAGGTTTGATAAAAAGGTAAAAACATAAAGGTTTTATTGGGTTATGTTCATTAGTTGAAGTACAAGCAAGTGCTGCAACATAAGATCTACTATTGCCAACTCTATCTTGAGATATGTTCCAAAGCATTGTATACATACCTCCATATAGCCACATCCACATTATTTGCCATCCACCTAGACAGATGTTCAAGGATAGCCTGAACAACCCCACACAATAAGTCTAGCACATCTACGACATTTTGAACAGAAATGTTCCTCTGGAGAGATGTTGTGAGATGCTGTTAGTGTCTCAGCGAAATGAACATTAGTAGTATAATATAGGATGATACAACTAGATGTCTCTTGTCGTTTGCAATTAGTTCATTTTAGTTCAAGTGCATCATTGCACTCAACATGTAACCAACAACAATTACTTAACGATGCTTTCTTTTCACTTAAGCATTTAGTTTGTATCTTATAACAGTGGCATAGAGGAAACAAGATGCATATATCAATGAGTATCATTTGATGCTCTTGGACCGGAGTATCGACGCACATAAATTCTTCCAATTAACAATGAGGGCTTAGAAAATAGCAAAAATGTAGACAATTGGATAGTACAAAACCAGATGAAATCTTCTAGATTATTACGAAGTTTTCTAATATTTTGAGATACATTGACATCGATCAAGACTAGAGACGGGATGTGATGCATGACGAGACATTTGATCAATGGAGAAGACACATGTTTGGGCGTGAACAAGGAGATATTTACTTGATGGAACGCCAATGGTAACCTAAATTGCTTGATGGGATCCATCAAGTTGCGTTTTATCCGATGGGACCTCAATGACGGTACACCGTCGTCAAGTTCTAATTCGTGTTACTGTAAAAATATGATGCAAGTTGTGAAGCTCTGCCATCACAAATCGTTACTACCTTGCAAATTGCTCGTAAAAATCTTGTCAAGAATGGGCTAGATGAAATAGAAGGAAGAACTAATCGAAATCGAAATCGTTCCTTTGATCTTTTCATTTCCATGTCTATGAGTGTGCTAGAGCTGGCTGTTTCTGAGAACAGCCCGAACTGACGTGTTACAAAAAGTGTCGATCAATTTTTGATCATCGGTACCCAATTTCATGCAGGATTAGAAACTGGCCTGTGACTATGGAGAACATGCTACTCACTTGCTCCTCAGCCATGGATAGATTTCTCTCTATGCATTAAAGGTTGCATGTGAAGACATCCAGTTTCCCATATCCCCTAGGAATCTTACTCATTCTTTACTCATTCTTGGTCCAGTTTGAGAATTTTGATCGATAGAGTTTCACTGCTTGCACCGTTTGCTGATACTAGAATGTGTGTGACGTGTCCCATCGATGGGGTCCCATCGGGTTAAACAAAACGTAAAGGGTCCCAGTAAGCAATTCAGGTTTCCATGGGGTCTCATCAAGTAACTACCCCGTGAATAAGCTACGAAGACGACCAACGATAGCCTTCATGTCATCATGCCACCCATGGTAGGAGTTCACGCCTGCTATGTAAAGATTTTGTAATTACCTCTTTCGATTAAAATCCTTATATAAATCGTACTAGCAGGTAATGTCTAAAATACACAAACTCAATACATGATGGTTATTTGAAAGTATAGAAGTAATGCTATTTCGGAAAAGATTGTGTATATATTAATAATATTTAATCTATCTTCTCTAAATGAAAATCTTTTAAGTACATTACCGATGTCAAAGTAGTTCCACTTACGTAAAAATTACAGTGAAATGGAATAGACTATACAAAAGTATTAACGCAGAACTTAACAACACCGTCACTTCTTTCTTTGAGAATTTCGGAATTAAATTTGAATGTTCTTATGTAACAACGACAAGAAATAGACTCAAAATTCATCATTAGAGAAAAATTGGCTTTCACGTTGATTGACAAATTTACTTAATCATAGTACAGAAATGCATTTACTCCGGTAATAAAATCCATTCACGCAAGAAGTCATATAGGAAACTTCAATGCACACAAAAGCTATTTCGTGTGACGACTCTCGACCTGTAATCAGGTAATCCAGTTCATTGATGCTGGTTAGACGCCGCATTTCCGAGAGAAGGAAATATCGCCTTCAAATTGAAATCCATTTGTCTAATCTCTGAATATTGGCCTGCGTTTGAAACTCATTTGTCACTCCTCCCTTTAATTGCTTATTTGGCCGCATGGAAGGCTGTGGCCTTAGAGGCAGAAGCCAGGCCGTCAGTCACTTCTTGACTCTGAAGGTGATCATGACTGACGTGGTTCTCTATCATATCTGACTTTTCTATTCATGTCAACTCCAAGTTAACATCGGGAATTCATCGAAGACACGAATTGCGGAAACCTCACCGATCGCATGAAATAAACTCACCACGTGCGGCTTGTGACCACACAGACCTGCTGCTCGGGAGGCAAGAATATATACATGTATACAGTACAGCCAAGTAGTAGATCACTGGGTCCAGTCGTGATCAACTTCGTGTTTCACGTTGCAACGTCGAGCTTACTCGTGACATATATGGATACACGGGCTGAAGGCGAATCCTTGCTGTGAATGTCTGACAACTTGCAGTTCAAGCACGGTCCTTCAGATACTAAGGTTCTGGAAAACCGAGACCATGCATACATGGAAATTGGGCGTCACACACAATTGCAATGCAAGGCCGCTTCGACCAGGAATGTGATGTAATGTCGCTGTAGAGCAGAGAAATATCTACTGTTCGTAGTCATGATGTTCGGAGTAAAGACTGTTTATTCTGGACTGTCGAAAAGCATGAAGTCTCAAACTAATCTGAAGTACTCCTCGGAGCTGCTGCTGCAATGACTTGCACTACACGTGAATTTTGAACGTAACAGATCATGAGGCTATCAGAGAATCTTCTAATTTTAAGATTTTCAACATGGCAGAAGTGCACGGTTTCCTTTGGAGTTTTTCGAAACATAAGAAAATCAATCGCCAAACACCGGGATGAGACTCTTGAAGCTGCTGGTTATATTAACATGCTGATCTATTCTTGACTATCATTCACTCGACAGCTACTGCAGAAGTTGGCTATTCCATCCATCGAGACTGATCGCTCTTGGTAAGGAAGAGTAGCTGACAATGCAGGAACGCTCATCGCAAAGGAAAATCCGATTCTATGGCTGATTGCTGACAAAAATTGTCATCCAGCAGGGGCAATGCAAAGTTCCACACCGCACCAGCTGATGGGAACAGGTGATTAATCAGGTAAATCTTCCAAGCCTGAGCTTTACAGCTGCGACAAATTCTCATCTTGGAACCGGACATAAGATACTGCTACTAGGATCGAAGCTCGGTGCATGTGTTCTGAGAGTCACTGTAGGCTGGATATTGGTGCGTTTGATCGTCTCCGAGTCTGTGGTCACCTTTGAGTGACTGGCCAGGAACTCTGCGAGACAACTGATTCTTCTGCAAATTTCAAGGAGAGTTTGAGGTCTGACAGGCCTCCCATCCTTGATAATGCTCATTGCTCTCTGTTGCTCTGTCAATTCGAAAGCTCAGAGATTGTAGACGAAGGAGATGTGCGTTTCAGTCTGCAAGAACCTCTCTTATAGCAACTCCTCGTTGTTTAAAATCCTTTTCGGCCAGAAATTGCTCAATAAAATATAGCGACTTGTAACCTCAAAGCAGGGATTGAGAAATCATCGGCGGGAGTTGCATATCTGATTACGATCATTCAGGCTTGGGACAGGCCAGTTGCAACGAGACTTGCGAAAGACGCCGAAGTTCAGCTCAAATCCAGATCCAGCCAGACGTACCGCACAGGTGTCAACCGGAGTTGCAGTGTTGCTGGTTCAGTCCGAAGGGATTTAAGCTTCTCGCAGGTGCTTGCAATTCACGGCAAATCTTATCCATGGGCATTGATCTGGTCTAACTACTAAATCCTGCCCGTTCCTCAGTCTCGGAGTAGCACCCTCAGGTCATGAGTGTGTGACTTTGCTCTGATTACGAGGTTTACAATTGCAATTCTCTCGGCGACTGCAATTGGAAGGGCAAGAATGATGCTTTCTCACGGTCAGTCTGCTGCAGCCATGGCTTCCCAAGGATCTCGTCTGCGCTCAGCCGTGGGCATCACCATTAGTTTCATCCTCGTCTGGTTACCCACGACGTGTGCCGGTGGATTCATGGCCGCTGGGGTAGGCGGGCGACGGCCGGTCGAGTACAGTTCCTTTCAGGACTCGGTGACTCTGCAGCGTCAGGAAGGATGCATACCGATGGGCGTCTCCCAGCTCGTCAATTCTCCGAACGAGAAGTACGGGCTCGCACAAGCCATCATGTGCCCGGATCGACAATTCTCTCCGTGGAACGTCAGCTTCGTGTTCGGAGTGTCGACGAACAAACCAGTGACGCTAGACCTCTCTCTCAAGAACTGGACGTGGACAGTTCCCGTCGAGTTCCAGCAACCCACCAACAGCTGCGCTCTTCGATTCACGGACGATGGGGACTTGCAACTTGTCGTTCCGATCAATCCCATGGACCCGCTGCCATGGAGTCAGAGCCGTGTTCTGTGGAGCTCCAACACCAGTGGCCTGGGAGCCGTGGAGATACAGGTCCAAGACAATGGGAATCTCGTCCTCGTCCACGAAGATGGCAAGTCTGTCGTGTGGAAGGCTCTGGACATTCCCGTGCTGCCTCTGCTGCCGCTCAGTGAAGCTGCAACTTCGACAACCGGATATCTGAGGACTGCAATGTCGGCCGTTCTAGTCGCTCACGTGCTTCCGTTCCTCATTAGCTGTTTGTGATTCTGACATACTTTTACGGAATTTGGACATTCCAGGTTTCTGAAAGGAAGTGCAGGTCGTTAAACGAAATTACCGAACCTCTGAGTAGATTCGTCTCAGTCACTCACTGAGCTTGACTGATACTGCATTTCTGAGCTTGCATTTGTAATGTAAGCGGAATCTGTTGCGCTAGATCTAGAGGGCCAATGTGTACTGGGAGGAGGTTTGATTTTGCTTACCTCCCAAAAGGGATGAATAAAATTTAGACTTCATCCGAATGCTGTGAGCTATTGGATTCATATATTTTAGCTCAACGAATTTGCATGCTTCTGCTTACTTAAACAAGGAATCGAACGAACGAGGAATGTAGTATAATCCTTCTTTGGGGTAGAGGAATGAAGTACAAGACCCTGTTCGTTTGTATCAGATCCCAGAACCTTAAAACTCGATGGAGCTGGGGTAACTTCAAGAAATCTTGACGCTTGGTGATTGTGAAAGAAAAATCGACAAGTCATCAGCTTCTTTATGATATTGAATTCTTATCCATTAGTAATTTGTTGTGATGAGCAGCGAACACAAGTCAAACTCTCGTATGTGACATCTCAGTGTCTTCGGCATCACGTAGGAACTCGCGCGTTCACGTATTCACAGCTTGCTAAGAACGTCATAGAACATGAAACACTTTCCTATTTGATGTCGTTTTTTGGAAAGAGCTGCGAATGATTTCTGCACTAACCATGTAAAGGCCTGACAATTTCTGAATTGAAAATACTGTTTTGTGTACTTTTTTCTAGTGTCACCTAGCATGCATCTGTCTAAAAAAATAATTCGGCAGCTCTGTTCGATCACACGTAATGTATGGTGTGAATTTTCTGATAAGGAAAAAGCTGGGCATGTTGGAGTAACTCATAGCTTTGTTCAGTAAGAAACCACAGACTCCATATTAACATTTCAAAAGAATCATAGAACGTAGAAATACCTTGAAATTAAAAATCAAGTTGTATTTTGTTTCCTCTTACATATTGGATAGAAGGAGTTTCGAAGCTTAAATATATATTTTTGGAATTTTTCAGAATTTCAAATGAAGAACTATCCATACTTGAAATGGAACTTATTATTAAAATATTCTAAAGAAGTTTCTTTCTAAATGAATAAGACCATATCTGTATATTATTCAAGACCAATGAACAAATATTAAACTGCAAGATCTGCTTGGAATTGAATGAAGAAAGATACTTTTCTTGAAAATTAGAAATTTATGATTTTACGAATCTTCCATCAATCCAAGAAAATGGTTATCCCATGATATCCAACTTAAATGGATGATAAAATTAATTTAAACACTCAAAAAATTCGTTTCATTAATAATTTTAACTTATTCTTAATATTCTCAAATTTAATAAAAGTATTATAAGTTTCAGCACCAATTTCGTCATTTTTCACGTGAATTGTTTGTTTGAATAACTTTTCTTTATTTTGGGATTTTTTTTTTATCTCAAGTAGTACTTTCAATGAAATATAGAATTCTGTTGTATAGTTTCAACTTCTCTTGAGTTTATGTATATAGGATGAAAATTCAAAAATAGAAATAAACGTCAAACTTATATTTCACTAATTTTGATGGAGTGCGTAATCCAAATATAATCAAAAGTAAATCATTAAAAATAAATTGTTATAGATTTTATTATTTATTGATTAATTAGATGTTAGAGTAATAAATTGTTCTATAATTGTTACAAAGCTAAAATACTATTTACTTCAAACAAAAAGCAACAATGAACTAAAACATATGTAAGATATTCAAATGATTTATGATCAATAATATCGGTCCCTAAGGAACACCCGAAAGGGCTTAGTCCGATGGGTACACGAAAGTGACGAAGTTGCTTTGACTATTGAACAAAAAAATTTTTTTTTTGCGTGTTTGTTAAACTCGTGAATTGGATTATTGGGCAGGCCGGAGGACTTCCAGGAAAAAACTTCGTGAAAAAAAACCGTACCCCAAACCGACACAGGTGAACAAGTAGAGCATACTAAGGCGCTTGAGAGAACCATGTTGAAGGAACTCGGCAAAATGACCCCGTAACCTCGGGAGAAGGGGTGCTCTCCTATCTTCGGATTGGGAAAGCGGCACATACCAGGGGGTAGCGACAGTTTATTAAAAACACATGACTCTGCTAAGTGGTAACACGATGTATAGAGTCTGACACCTGCCCGGTGCTGGAAGGTGAAAAGGAGAAGTGTTTTAAGCTTCGAATGGAAGCCCCGGTAAACGGCGGCAGTAACTCTAACTGTCCTAAGGTAGCGAAATTCCTTGTCGTTGTGTGTGTGAAGACGTTTTTTAAGATTTGCAAAGCAGATAGTCATCGTCGAGCACCGAGCCCCCAAGTCGCCTTCTTTCGAAGAAATTTAGCTAAACAATCTATCTCGAGTATATACATCATCTTTTATTCGTACTCCTTCTATAAATATCCCTTCAGCTTTCCTTGTCTTAGTAAATGAAAACTCTTCATCTTTGAAAACTCGGGCAAACCGTCCCAAAGGCGCGTAGCGGAAGTAAAGGAAGGTATACGGGCATAGAACGTTACCGCTCATACGGCTCCCAACCCCAATCTTTTTCGTTGTAGAGTTTAATCATCGAGAATCACATGCCTGCCCCCTTCTTGGTTTCGGGTTCAGAACCACAGATACATCTATATCCTGCAGACTTATATCCCCCGCATGCATCGCCTTGTGGTGCTCCCTGCATAAGGAAATTTGTTTCCGGTTATTTGAATTTTAATCGAAGTAAATATTCAAATTTCTTTGAATAATTGATGTTTCATTGTAATACCATTGATGGCTAAAATCTCTTGAAATTGAAATAGATTTAGTATTCTATTCCCTTTTTAGATTTGATGGAAATATTATTACTTAGTATATAGAGCTTATGATGAGTAATCACACAAAGTATTTCATTGTATATGTCCAAGAGTTCTTCAGATTAGACATTCTAAAAATAGATGTCCAATCTACTATTTTGAAAATGATAAATCTCAAAAGTGCATCACAGAGTAATTTACATTGTAAAATTTGCAAATGGCTAGAACAAGGAAACGTTGGAACGAGGTTGCAACACCCGTCCAATACTTTGCATCAACAGGAGTAAGATCTTCAGATTTCAGAAAGAGATGGCAACACAAATCATGTCATTGTTGTTGCATGCAGATTTTGTACCAAAGTAGATTGTGAGTGCAAAGTCTATGCGCATTGTCCAAATAGGCAATCAAAAAGACGATTGGTCCAACATTCTCCCCCAAGAATTATTGCATGTATTTCTGAAGTGAGCATCCATTATGTTAGGAGAAGTATCAAGCCATCGCCAAAGAAATTAAACTTGTTTACATTGAATCTGGGCGACTTTTATGAACACAATTCTCACATATCTCAACCAAAACATAGACCATAATACCTAAATCATTAATACGGTCATCATTGAGAGCATAATGAAAGAAATGTTGTGAAATACCAAAGATGTTGAAGGTCAAACCTATGATAACGCCATGCGCATCTTCACCCTTAATCTTGAAACATGAAAATATTTTATGACAACCAAGATCCCAATGACATTACACTTTGCAATCAAGTACTTTGCCATTTGTTCAAACTCCAACAGACTACGTTGGTGTTTAAAGCCAAAACTAAGTTGCAATGAGTTTCAAGTTAGATGGATTGAATGATTTGAAGATCATTACATTTGTATGTGTTCATTGCAGTGCCAATTTCCAAATCATTGTTAACAATCTCTACATGTTGTGGGCTTTCTCGATTAGACTAAGCATCTTTGTTTGCATGGATATTTCATACATTGATGTTTGTGTTTGTCTTGTTTGGCGGCGTGAATTCTACAATTTGCATCCCATTGCAATCTTGTTATACGAGTTTCATAATGGTTTGTTAGAGTTTGAAATTCTGTGAAAATTATTCTACAAATTTTACTTTAATTGAAGTACCCAACTGATTGATGCATAATCCAACGGAATTCAAAACAGGATTGGTCATGTTGTTAGTGTTATTACACGGCTGCAATAGCGTTCACTGGAAAGTTTCATTCGTGTGAGATGTTGTTTTCATCAATTGGATTTTCCGCTACATAAGACATATTTAAAACTCGATGGCGATGTATGATCTGCAACATTTATATTCATGAACTTGCACATGCATTGACAACAGACGTTTATTTGCAAGATGATATCGACTTGTCCCAAGACATCTACGATTCGATGGCATGCTATGTTCAATGCCACAATATGTCTCGATGACCATCGCCACAAGATTAATCTCCACTATTTCAAAATTCCAGTAGTATACTCTAAGCATGCATTTCAACTTGAGAGTGAAGTTTGATGGGTTTTAAAAGTTGTCATAAGAAGTATCACGAATGCCATATACACAAAGGTGATGATAGTCCAAGATCATTGTTTCATGTTCAACCAACAATAAATAAATGTTGATCGATGAGTTATTATTCACTATCGGTGCATCTCACAATTACAAAGTTACAATCTGGATGAATTCATTCATGTCATCCTCAACGATTGATCAATTTCCAACATTGACATCATGGACCTCATTAAAGATCTTGGTCATTTTGTTTTGACGAGTATCAACAATGTCTTTGAATCAACTCGGTTTTTGGCAACGATGTGTTCTTTATTTTTTACATTGGCGAATAATTTATGTATTGCTTAGCAATGCGAGATGAATGAGACTCTCACGATCTTGACTTTTCCACCACTGCACCTTTTAGTATTAGTGAAGTTTAAAGATCTTGATATCAATCACCTTATCATCCAATAGAAGTCTTTTCTTGATTGAAGTTGCTCTCACTCCAATATTGACAAAATTGCATACCAATTTGCAGAGCTTTGTGCAATATACAAGAATTGCGCAATTTATCAATTGTTGCGTGGAAATTGCCAAATTTCAATTTTCTAGTTAACTTTGCTGGTGTACTGAGTTCACACTGCACTAGTCCATAGCGACTTCTCAAAATTGAAAGTACGAAGTACATATTCAACGTGTACTTCCGGAATTTCAATTTTCAATTGATCAAAGACATATTAAATATATTATTGAATGATGTTTTTCTAGAAAAAGTTATCCAATATAAATAGTATAATTTCTTGCGCAAGATGAATCAATGAAATATTTTTATTTTACTTGTCTTGAAGCTTCAGGTAGGGGTGATAACTAGTCCGAGTAGGGACTTGACACTAATTTACTTCAGATTAGTCACTTTAGTCATGTACCATTAGGCCTGTAAGCTTTATCACTACGCAAAAGCTTTATCACTCAAGCTGGAAATGGTCGTCGTAGTATCTGGGCTAGTCGTTCCAAACAATGATAATGCGTAGATCCGCGTTGGAACAATATCATCGCGTTACTAACGTGTTCACGACATGATAACACAACTCAAGACAAGAATGTTGCAATTGGAAGGGCAATGCATCGCAGCCCGACGCGTCAGTCATGCAATCGGGCGACCTGGCGACTATGACCTCCGCCCGCAGTGGACAAGTTCAGGTCAGCGTGCAGAGTCGGAATTGACCGACTTGAACTTCCAATACCATGTGTTCCTCGGCCTTGCTGACACATGTTCGAGGACAGGAACATTTTCGTACAGGGTTGCAGCTCCTGTGCAGTGCTATCGACGGTGGCATGAGATTCTCTCCGTCTCCTCCAGTTTCTAGGAGTCTCTTCTAGCGCCTCAGTGTTCTCCACCTCTTGCTTGAGGATGGGTCGGAGTAAGCCCGTTTGGCTGGCGGCTCCACTCTATGTGGAATCTGAGCCTCTGGAATGCCTTCCATAAATTCTGATGATTGTTCGTTCTGAATATCCTCATCTTATCCGTCATCACCAGGTGCTCAGCTTTCTGCGATTGGTTATCACCGCTTCAGCCGAAGATCTTCTTACCCTGACATGAACCAGGGATTTGTCACATTAGATGTTTCCGGAATCAATCCTAACAGTAATTTAGTATTTTAGCTTCATCTTAACCGCTGCGAGAAGCTCCCTCCGGCATTTGAGCCAGCTTCACAGCACGAGATCCGTGCCACGCAATCCCTCTTCCATCTGTAAGTTGCATCAGACAATAAAGCCCGGGAAGAAGAACTACGAAGAAGAAACAGAGTGCGATCATGAGAGATAATTGAACGCGTAGAACATACGCTAGTCATCAGACTGCGGCGCAACAACAAACAAAGCAGATTTCGATTCATAGATCCGATGTCAATAACGCAGCGATCGTTTCAAATTGAGCTTTAACCAGTTGATGAATGCTAAAGTGTACCCGTGTTGTCGAGTGACAGCATAATTTTTTTAAAATGTCAGTGTTATATTTCTCAATATTACGGTCCCTTATGAGGTTACAATGAACCCGCTAGCCTCTGGCTATGGGCCTTGTGCAAGCGAAGTCATCATGCACGACATGTAAAATTCAAGATCTTCGTTCTGATGTGGCCCAAGTATATGAGAAAGTTGTGGAATTAGTCAACATTTAGCAGCTAACAACGTTTACACGAAGTTTGCAACGCCACTTTGACTGCAACACGTTTGGGCTGATTTCTGTGTAGCCCAATATTGCTGACATCATCTTGCACTGTCATGGATTTATGCGTGATAGTAAATTCATGATTCCTGGTGATCTGATTTCCCCCTTCGTACAATCTGCAACCGTTCTAAGAATGCACGATGAAACGACAGATGTTATCAGAAGTGTATCTCCTGACGCACTTTTGCCTTAATTCTCCCGCACTTTTCAATTAAAAGGCTGAGACAAAAAGGTGTGCGCAAAAGTCTGTGAGAGGTTTGCAGACCTACGGACACTTCGAATGAGTCCAGTGTGAGCTAGAGTCAACAGAAACTCGGTCCCTTTCGCTTTTCGGCTCATTCCCATGAAGCCCAATCCGTTCAGAAAAGTAAAAACTCAAAATGGATTTGTGACTCCACATTCATGGCCGACACTACTCCGCACCATCCATCAGCAGGGACGGTCAACTACCCCAGAGTAGTCACAGAATGTAAAACTATCCAAAGAATCATAACTGTGGAAGACGTGACACGACGTATTACAAACGTTATCGGGTTACGGTCTATGAATCCCCAGTCCTGCAGCACGAAAGTCCTACGGATCGCTGTTGCAGCGAGCGCTCCGTCCCCGGTAGCACCTTCACCACATTAACTTACGACGACGAGACATACGTTGTAGAACAAAAGAATAAATACTTGTAATTTAATTTATTGCAAAAGATTTTGTTTTGTACACGTGAGACTTATTAGGTTGAGTGGATATTTTAAAAAAAATTTATTATAAAATGTATCTCGAAAAAGATATGTCTGCGAGATAATTAAGACATTTAAATTCTTCTACGAAAGATATATGATAAATGAAAGATAGATTCTTTATCATACAATATAAAACAAAATGTCCAAAATAACTATTTGTCACGATCTTTACGCACAAGTAGGATGCTTGTTCAAGACAAAAATGTGGATGTGGGACGGACCGTTCAGGTGGATCCTCGTCTGGCAAACGGCCCCTCGTCTCTTCCACTCGAAGTTAATGCAGCTGCTTCATTTGAACTGGCTGCCTGCCTTATCTGATTTCCTAGGTTTCTCTCAATCCAAGGACCTAGCACCCATTGGGACGTCCAGTCCAGCGGAGAATGGTGGCGCTCTCGAGTGACTTGGATGACCACGATGGTCAATTGAAAAGAAACGGGTTGAAGCAAAAGCGGAAGATACAGCAACATTATGCTGGACGGGAGGCACAAGGATCAGAATACGCAGGGGACGATACGTGCACTAGCATGACTCATCGATTAGTCATGCGACAGTAGCAATAGAAAGCACTTTATCTGCTGTCATGTAAAACAAGCACAGGTATCGCGATCACTTGAGGGAATTTAGCATCAGGGTTGACAAAGGTTCGAGCAGTAATGAATGGGCTATATTTTGGGCTTATCTTCAGTCTATCGATAGATCATATGGTTAGTCAGTGTATAGACTTGAGTCAGAAGAAGATTTGACGCATCTTTCACGAAGTTCCGGCGGCTTCCGTTGATTGATTATATTCACTAGATATTCAGACAGATATTCCACTCGAATATCTGTTGGACCTGTATCTACACTTGCTTTTCCTGCACCGCAGGAAAAGCATTAAAGAATAAAACTAAAATCCTAACATATGAATATGGTTGTCGAATTCCAGTCTCAACGATCATCATCGGAGCTCATGATTTTTAACACGAGAGTCTTCAGAAAAAAAAGTACATGAATATCTGAGGTATATATTGAAAAATGGCGACTTTGAAATATTGAAAGCACTCACAATCATGACCATAGCACCTAGAAGGCTTATGAAAGTCGTGTTATATCTTGTTGTGTTACAATGCTTCACAGTCGCAGTAAGAACTCTGAGTCTTGTTAACGGTGAGGTCCCTTCTGCTTTGGAGGTACAAGAAAATTCCACGGCGAATGACAGGTAACTTCGATTGAATGATCCATTCTGTACAGTCAAGCTTTATGCTTCCTGGGCCAGCTTCCATCTCCTTATGCAAAACTCAATACAGAGGACACAGTCGAAATTTAAAGAAAGGTAACTCGTCGAGTGCCGCACACCACATTACGCATCTTAGGGAAGAAGAATAAATCTCTCCAGTGTTGCAGACCAGTGCAAGTGAGTCGTTTACTCATGCATGCTCATCGAGTTCAGTGTCCATCGAGGAATTGAGAATATTCGAAGTCAGGTAATCATTTTCGTATTTCGTGACTGCAGCTCTGCTCTGCTCGAGTTCAAAGATGAAATTTCAGTCGATCCAAGGGGAGCACTCGATGATTGGGACAACAACACTTCAGTCCTATTCTGCTCTTGGTCCGGAGTCATCTGTGACGAATTGCAGGAGCATGTCGTATCTCTAAACTTGTCCGGTCTTGGATTGATCGGGCGCATTTCCACGTCAATAGGAAGATTGAACCTCCTTTCACTTCTGGACCTGAGCCACAACTCGTTTTCCGGAAGCATTCCATCGGAAATTGGTCTTCTGAAGGAGCTCACCATTTTTCACTTAACCGACAACGAGGGGATTAATGGTTCCATCCCAGAGAGCATTGGCGGCTGCACTCTACTCACCGATTTGCAGATTGGGTGGACGAGTATCTCAGGAGGCATTCCGCCCACCATAGGGAACTGTCAAAAGCTGCAGACACTGCGGTTGTTTTCGAATGCTGCACTGGGTGGTCAAATTCCCTACAACTTGAGCCTTTTAGGGAGCCTGACGGTGCTGGATCTCCAAAACAACAGTTTGATCGGAATTATACCTCCTGAATTTGGCAGGATACAGAGACTGCAGATCTTGCGTCTGGGTACCAATGAGTTGAGTGGCAACATCCCTCCAGAGCTATCGCAGTTGTCATTGCTGCAAGTGCTGTCACTTGATTTCAACAACTTCAGTGGAACGATACCTGAACAAGTGGGGCTACTTTCTAACTTGAGGGTACTGAACCTGACCCAGAATTTGCTGAGCGGATCGATACCTGACGAAGTGGAGCTGCTTTTCAATCTGAGGGTTTTGAATCTGACACACAATTCGTTCAGCGGAAAACTGCCATCGAAAATCTGGGGAAACATGTCACACCTGGAGGAGCTTCACCTCTGCAGCAATCTCTTCGAAGGCCAAATTCCATCTGAATTGGGGAGTATACGTTCTCTGAAAGTCTTGAAGCTGGGGGAGAACGCTTTGAATGGGGAAATTCCTTCAAGTTTAGGTGGTCTTGGAAACTTGACGGACATAGACTTGTCCTTGACCCAGCTCCATGGAACCATACCGCCTACTTTTGCAGATCTCTCGGCTCTCAGGATGCTGTACATCAGAGATACCGACCTCTCGGGCTCAATTCCCTGGGAAACTTTGAGCCAAATTCCACACTTGGAAGAAATCATGATGACGGGAAATCTCTTCAATGGCAGTCTGCCCGTCAAATTTTCGAATTTCTCTGCAGTCCAGAAGGTGGAACTTGGATTCAACTCCTTGAGCGGCTCTATACCCGAAGCATTGTGCGAGATGTTTCCCAACATCAGGACTTTGGCATTGCAACAAAACAGTCTCGAGGGATCTTTGCCAGCGGCAATTGGGAATTGCTCCAAGCTGGAGGATTTAGTCTTCGCTGAGAACAATATCAGTGGGATACTTCCGAGCTCGTTAGAGAAGTGTGCCTCCCTTCAATGGTTGGAAGGCTGGGCGAATAATCTCACAGGGCCTCTACCTCCTAATTACGGCTTCCTCTCAAATTTAACATATCTGAGCTTGGACAATAATACACTCAGTGGAACTATCCCTCGGGAATTCGGAAATCTCACTCAGCTGGACAACCTGGCCTTAGCTACCAATTTACTAAGCGGCCCAATCCCTGCGTTCCTGGGCTCTCTTCCGGCGCTCATCTTTCTGAATCTTGGAAGCAACTCCTTCTCTGGCACCATCCCAGGAGCCCTTCTGCAGAATTCAGTGATAGAAGAATTACACCTTGATTCGAACCTGCTCGAGGGAAAGCTTCCTGAAGAGATAGGACAAGCTACAAACCTCATCAGTCTGAAGATTCACAACAACAAGTTCAGCGGAAGCATACCATCGACCTTGGGAAATCTGACATTGCTGACCACGTTGTTTTTGCGGAATAACTCGCTCACAGGTGCAATTCCGGAGAGTCTGGCGCTCCTCGTGAATCTTGTGAACCTAGATATCGGTATGAATGACTTCACCAGCGAATTTCCTGACGTGCTGAGAAATTTGACCAATCTGGAGTCCCTTTGGCTGACCAACAATCTCCTCACAGGACAACTTCCATCGTGGATTGGCACCCTGAGCAACCTTCGCTATCTGAGCCTGGGATTCAATAATTTAGAAGGTCCTATACCCGAGCAGATGGGGGATCTTACCGAACTGAGGTACTTGGCGCTCAATGATAACAAGCTGACTGGCAAGATTCCGCAGACTCTAAGACTTCTGTCCCGCCTCCATTTCCTGAACTTGGCCACTAATTCTCTCACTGGTGACCTCGACCTAGACTTCAGCAACTATGGTTCCATCCACAACATTTCTATCCTGCTCAATGGAAACAACCTCACAGGTCCTTTCCCGCCGTCACTGCAGAATGTTTCTATGAAGCTATTGGACCTGAGTGACAATCAGTTGAGTGGGTCTCTACCAGACGTTCCCGGGCTGACTCCCATGCACTTGAAAGTAATTCTGCTCAGGTCCAACAACTTCGTTGGAGTCCTTCCATCTTGGCTATGGCGTCTTCAGAGTTTGCAAGATCTGGACTTTTCAGACAACATCTTCACGGGTGCACTTCCCCCAGAAGTTGGCAACCTCAAGAAGCTGAGGGTGGTCTCGAACAGCAATTCACGCTCACTCAGCGAGTTCGAATCCACCGACGGCAACGATGCTCGCCAGTTCACTCACTATGAGATCACCTTCAATGTCAAGAATGGGGTCACTACTTTCAGCTCGGTGGTCGCATCGTACAGTATTATCGACTTCTCTGGGAACCGACTCGAGGGCGAAATTCCCTCCGAGTTGTACCAACTGGGAGGACTACGATTTTTGAATTTGTCCTACAATTCTTTCAAGGGGCCTATATCGGAGGACATCGGCGGGCTGCAGAACCTGGATCAGCTCGATCTCTCACACAACCGACTCAAGGGTCAGGTTCCATCGACAATCGCGAGCCTGGGGTTTCTGGGAGTGTTAGATCTCTCGTACAACAATTTGTCGGGGAGAATTCCAGAGCAGATTGTAAAGTTCGTGAACACTTCATTCGTAGGAAATTTCGGGCTTTGTGGTCCTCCCTTATCCACTTTGTGCACCGACCAGTCACCCCGAGAGTCACCAGACGATCTCAATTCAGCTGAGAACGATCAAGAGCAGAGCCTGGTGGATGATCTCTTCTCTCTGGAAGCAGCCATGGCCTTCATCATCGGAGCTGCGGCAGGTTTCGGAGGGTTTTCCACTGCAATTGTTCTGACTCCGTCGTTGCGGCATGCTGTCTTCCATTATCGAAGACCGAAAGTAGTCTCAACAGCGTGTACATATCACATATATGTGTAAATACTTCTGAACTTTGTTAGATCGCTTGTACATTTAAATAATATTCTATGCAAAACTCTTGTCCACTGTTGTTTCCACTCATGAAACCATTCACTAAACACTGTATATTTCAAGGTTTCTGATCTGAAAATTGTAAATATATGTTGAAATTTGCTTCACAGTTTTCCTCTGCTAATGTATAGCAATGGGGAAAGACAGAAAATGCTAAATAGTTTTTTTATCAGAAGACTAGGTCTTTCATGTGCTAATTACTCGTAAGACAGTGCACGGGAAATGAAATGACCGTAACAGGAACTGTCTCGAGGCTAATACATCGAATCAATTTCTATGTAATGAATCCTTTATATCTTATGTTGCCCTCAGAGGAGGTATGCTGTAGTTCAGAATGTAATTTTGGTGGGCAAGAACCGGCAGTCCTGCTAAAATTCAGTGCAAACACTCTGGCGGTTGCATATCACTTACTAAATGGGGATGCTAAGTTCCTTGATATGGATCTTCCTGGAATTTTTTGGAAAGTAAAGGACGATGCAATTTACTTATGGCAATTGTTCCTGGAAGCCTTCAAATTCGTCTCACAAGGGATTTTTATGAGTATGTACATCAAAATCTCGGTTGAAGAGGATTTCATTATCGACATACTCATCTCAGTACAACTCTATTCCATTATCCACTTTCTGTGATATTGAGATTGGGTAGTAAAATCCTGACAAACTTAAACGATCTTCAAATGTACAGAAGGCTCGTGCTGAAGAATTTTACAGAATTTCAGGAACTCGTTTCGATGAAGTCCAATTTCCTAATTTTGAAGTGAAATGTGGGGATTTGGAACCCAGGGAGTCAGTCAAGTTCCAAATCTTCACAGGAAGGACTTGCACTTTTGTTACTAACTGGCAAGAGTGATTAGATGATTCTTTCCTCCGTTCCCTTAGAGTAATTTTAAATCCCTCAGCTACCTTATTGGTTTATTATACAACAGCAGAAGTATAGTACACATATGATTAAATTATTAAATATTTGATATTACTTTCGAATCAGATCAAATACAACTGATGTGAGCAAGGCATGATGCCTAAAATTCCTCTTGAAAGCACGTGTGACTAATGGTGTGCATCACACAGATTAAGCATTTATCGTGAGAAGAGTGAGTTGCACATGTCAATTCCATGAAAGTGCAGATTGAATGGAGAGGAAGTTATGGCGTTTGTAGTGTTTTTCTAAGATTTAGTTTTTTCAAGAAAAAAACGGTTGTTGAAGGTTGTATTCGGAGAAGAAAACCTTAAGAACTTGGATATTTAGGTATCGAAAGGTTTCCATTTGACATTAATGTCTCCATGCACGACATTTTATAAACCACGTGTGTGCATATCACGGCGAATATATGACAACCATACAATGGTTTATTTAAGCATGTTTATTTCAGAGAATTTTTTTTAGAACTTTACGAAAGTATGCAATTTTTGCAGATTTAGAAAGTGACTCACTCTAGATAAAGTATTTGCACTTTATTTCACGTTTATTATTAAAAATAAATTTACATAAGTGGAAAAAATTATTCTAAATTTTATAGAAAATAACAGAAAACTTAGAATGAGCTTTTGAAACTTAAATTACAAAATTTATTTCATTTAATTTAAGCTAAGCTTATATCTCAATATGAAAGTGTCATACTAAGTTACGTACATAATGAATCAAAGATATACGGAAGTAAAATCTGTAATGCTTGAACTCTTAAAAAAAAAATGATATTGATAAGACAGTGTAGAATTTATGGTGATGGACTCTTGTAATGTGCAACATGCATTTTCGGTAATTTGCGTTAATCTGCGAGACAAATTGAATAGGATTTGAGGAAAATCTCCTGAAGTCTACCAGTTCTTTACTGTCGGTACATGGAAATCTATGATCATGTTAGTTTACATATATGAAGGATAATGCAGGATCCGTGACCAAATAGTGCTCACATCACAACATCCAACCCGTGGACCGTACAACCAGATCCATGGCATGATACTCGCTTACAATATCTTATCTAGCATAATGCTAGATAAGTTATTTTATCGAATGCTAGTAGCATTCGATTGATGTTGGCTGACCAGCACCACTCACGGATTCTATCGATTGCAACCTCTATGAGATGGAAAGGGTGGCTATTACATGTTTATCTCTGGGTTAAGTTGCCAGGTATCCGTTGTTTATGGAGACTACATGCTCGAGAGACGAAGAACTTGTCTTCCAGTAGTCTCATCTTTGCTCGTCCTTTGCATAATTCTTCACAAAGAGCTCGACAGATGTGTTTCCGATTAATGATTGCGATGAACTTCTACGATGTAGGTCAACTTTAACTTGTGTCTGAAGCGACCGACCATTATACTGCAGATGCCGACTCAATTCACATAGTTAGTCCTTTATATGTTCGAGCGACGGACTTCTAGTTTGTCACGAGATGTGGAAAAAGATGTCGTTGACAATGTAAACGACATCCTTTTCCCCTGATCACAGCTTGCTAAGAACGTCGTAGAACTCGGAACCTGAGTCGTTCACCGGACACTTTCCTAAACCCTGAACTCATCCTACATCTTAGTCCACGACATGTCGTTGGCTATGTCAACTTGACATAGTCTTCTTCAAAAAGCAACTCAGTGAAGCTGAATAGGTGTCACAGCTTAGCACAGGTGTAAGACTTGGACTCTCAGAGCTCATGTTAGAAAGAGAGCACTGGTAATGACTGCGTGCTATAACTTGGTTTCTTCGATCCATTCGTTCTTACCTTGCGACCCAATGTTCATCCGGAAAAACATATGTCAGTCCTCGTTCGGGAACAAACGTAGAGAGTGTATGATAATTCGATAGTGAGTGGATGCTAGCAGTCTCGTGGCTGTTAGCAATCTCGCAGGTGCTAGAAATTCACGGCAAATCTTATCCATGGTCGTTGATCTGGTCTAACTACTGAATCTTACCCGTTCCTGGGTCTCGGAGTAGCACCTTCGGGCCAAGAGTGTGTGACTTTGCTCTGAATACGAGGTTTACAATTGCAATCCCCTCGGCGAATGCAATTGGAAGGGCAAGAATGATGCTTTCTGACGGTCATTCTGCTGCAGCCATGGCTTCCCAGGGATCTCGTCTGCGCTCAGCCGTGGGCATCATAATTAGTTGCATCCTCGTCTGGTTACCCACGACGTGTGCCGGTGGATTCGCGAGCGCTGGGGTAGGCGGGCGACGGCCGTTCGAGTACCTCGTCTTTCAGGACTGGGAGAGTCTGCAGCGTCAGGAAGGATGCTCACCGATGGGCATCTCCCAGATCGTCAATTCTCCGAACGAGAAGTACAGCCTAGCACGAGCTATGTTGTGCCCGGATCGAGAATTATCTCCGTGGAACATCAGCTTCGTGTTCGGAGTGTCGAACAATCCATTGTCGCTAGACTTCCCTCCTCAGGGCTGGACGTGGACAGTTCCCGTCGATTTCAACCAACCCACCAGCAGCTGCTCTCTTCGATTCACGGACGATGGGGACTTGCAATTTACCGTCCCGATCAATCCCAAGGACTATGGAAGTCCCGGCCCATGGACTCAGAGCCGTGTTCTGTGGAGCTCCAACACCAGTGGCCTGGGAGCCGTGGAGGTACAGGTCCAAGACTCTGGGAATCTCGTCCTCGTCCACGAAGATGGCAAGTCTGTCGTCTGGAAGGCTCTGGACATTCCCGTGCTGCCTCTGCTGCCGCTCAGTGAAGCTGCAACTTCGACAACCGGATACCTGAGGACTGCAATGTCGGCCGTTCTAGTGGCTCACGTGCTTCCGTTCCTCATTAGCTGTTTATGATCCTGACATACTTTTCCAGAGTTTGGACATGCCAGGTTTCTGAAAGGAGGTGCAGGTTGTTAACCAAAATCACCGAACCTCTGAGTAGATTGGTCTCAATCACTCACTGAGCTTGATTGATACTGCAATTCTGAGATTGCATTTGTAATGTAACCAGAATCTGTTGCGCTAGATCTAGAAGGCCTGTACGGGGAGGAGATTTGATTTTGATACTAGATTAAACTCTAATTAGGGTAGTGACGTGGCATTAGATGAGCCATTGAATTCCAGATAACACTAAAAAGTACAGCAATACTATGTATATATTCTATTACAATTTTAGTGAAACTCTCTTCACACACACATTCAAACGTATAACATTTGCTTTTCTCCCAAAAATTATCAATAAAATTGAGACTTCATCCGAATGCTGTGAGCTATTGGAATCATATTTTTGAGCTCAACGAATTGGCATGCTTCTGCATTAGTGATACAAGGAATCGAACGAACGAGGAGTGTAGTATAATCCTTCTTTGGGGTAGAGAAATGAAGTACAAAACCCTGTTAGTTTGTATCAGATCCTAGAACCCTAAAACTCGATGGAGCTGGGGTAAACTTCAAGAAATGTCAGTGACGCTTGCTGATTGTGAAAGAAAGATCGACAGCTCATCAGATTCTTTATGACAGTGACTTCTTAGCCATTTGTAATCTGTTGTGATGAACAGCCAACACAAGTCAAAGTCTCGTACGTGTCTTCTGCATCGAGCAGCTATGCAAACGTCGGAACTGACGCGTTGACGTGTTCACAGCTTGGTAAGAACGTCGTAGAACTCGAAACCTGAGTCGTTCACCGGACACTTTCGTATTTGATGTCGTTTCCTGTATTATTCTACAGCAGCAGAAGTATAATACACATATGTGTACTCTCATTTTAAAGCTGCAGTGATTTGATTTGACTTTTCATGTGGTAAAGTTTTACTTGGAAATATGGCATCTGAAGGAAGTATTATCGAATTTGAAAGTGGTTTCAATTGCCGAGACTTGCTGGTCGATAACAAATTGAGAGAACTACTGACTCGATAATCAAAAGACTAAGACACTAAAAAGTGATAGTACGCCTAAATGTATAATTACATTGAAGCCTACTATCACACCCTCGGAGCCGAGTGGCTGGAGTCCAACTGTACTTAAAGTCTTTGCAACTGTGAAAAGCTGAGTGTGCGGGTGAGTACTGTAAGGTTGGAGTTAGTGGGCAGGAGCAAAGTCAGACAAATTGTATCTGCGAAATGACTTTCATACCCTCGCATGTTAGTTCATGAGTGCTGCTGTGCTTTGGATTTTTCCTTCTCACGACTCATGCTTCTGTCTAATCTCTGATCATGTTCCCGTCGATCGTCAGCTCGTTCTTGAAACTTAAACAAAGTACGTGGTTGCTGGACTTCAAGAAGACGCCCATGTGAATCATGGGGACGCTTCGTGAAAGGTATAAAAAAGGTTGTGGAAGATATTCTCCACGAACTTTTCCAACCCTATCAGAAAATATAATCACTGAGACTGAAAGCAAATCCAAATGAAGAACAATCTGTAGGCCCTTAGCCTCGCGAAACCAAAGAATCTCAATTTAATCAAGAAGCCGCCTTCATGACGTTCGATCAATACAAATCGTTCACTGCAATTGGCATCCATGTCCTGTAATCGGATCCATTGAAAATCAGCGAGGTGTACTGGAACAAATAGTCCCCACTTATGTCACTAAGGTGGGTACCATTTCACCAAAGTGGATATGTAGGGCTGGACTGGTGCTCTTGGTTGACTCACTGTGGACGGCCGCATGCTACCTTTGACGCCAACTCCTTGTGCTGATCTGTAATCGACACCATTTCCGCCTCATCAACGTGTTCAATATTCGAGGCTTGTGCTTTCGAACAATTTGAACAAAATCGATGGCAGAAACTAAAATCAATGTCATCGGAGAACTTGCAGGCACCGAGTCGAACTCTTGATTATAGTAGTTCCTTGCGGCCTTGATCTTCATGATGCCGTTCAATAAATTGAAATATATCACAGCCATTGCTCAAATAACGGTAAAGACGTCGGTCATTTCCAGTGATTCAAACTGGTCCATCGTCAATACAACTATGGATCGAATGTTGTCTTTGATTGTGTTAGAGCTAAAAATAAAAGAACCCATCTGGACTTCAGTCATGGACAAGATAGTTATCGGACCTCCAAACTCAGCAACACAGTCAACAGCTGCTCCACAATTCGACTTTAACTCCTCACAAAGCCTTTCCAAATTGCCTGTTTGCTGAGACAAATGCACATCAGTCATTTGCAAAACGTCGAAAGTAATAACAACACTCTTCAAAAAGACGTGTACGAACTTTGCAACTAACCAGCTGAAAATCAAACGCCAGATTCAATAAACTGTTGAAATAATGATGATGTTAACTTCTTGAGGAATATCATAATACACATTAGGTAGGAGATGGAGAATGAGCAAAAATTTTCTCTTGCATATGGGTGAAGACTTGAATCTGAATCGCCAACAGCCACTTCAGCACCTTAGTGAGGGACGTCCAGCAAACATTGATATAATAAGGGCATTTGGATCCCATCTCACAAATGAGTTTCTTCTGACGTCGAACATAGGCGACAACTTCGGTGAGGATATGCATAAACACAAACACCTCAGTTTCAGCCATGACGTCGATTAACCCTTTGATCACAAGGTCAAGCTGGTGGGCAAAACACCAGATACTGTAAAATGCATCACCGCACAAAGATTTATTGAGAAGAAGTGTCGAGAAACCACTGGTATGACCTCTCATATTTCCAGCTCCGTCAGTAGATGAACCAATCAACTTCATTCGCCAAACTGAGCAAAGTGTATCCAGCATCTTAATCACAAGATCGGCATAGGTTTGTCCAATGAGGGCCAGAGAAAACAGTCAAAACCGCTAAGTGATGAAAGCCTTGTTGAATTTTGGCTTTGCCATCATATCCAACAACGGGAGGAAAACGTATCATCAAATCAAGATGCGGATCTTCACCTTTGTCGTTGGATTCGTCTGCTCCAATAGAGAAAGCATAGCATGATCGCATTATCTCTGCCATTGCATGCAATCTAATCGCACAAGCCAAACGCGAGAAGTTTGAGGCTTCACTAGGAGAAATACATCCCAATTTTGCTACTGCGCCAAAATTCTGTCGATCTCTCTCAACAACTTTTGATATTTAGCGAAAACTAAGACCAGCGCTCAAAAGCTCAAGCACATGGTTAAACTAGGGCTTGTTCTTGATATGAACAGTGTAGGAAATGATTTCTCCAGACTCGTTTGTCATAAGCTCGAATGCTTTCATCGCAATATCGCCTAAGATCTATATGTTCTTGTCAAAAAGCATGTCTCGAATTATGATTTCAACGATCTTCTTGTCGATGGAATAGGACACAGCACCATTGAACTCAGATTTCTTGGAGAAGAACGCTCTAAGCTTAGATTGCTCAAAGAAAGCATTGAATGCATCCAAATTTGATTCTTTTTCATTCTTGACCTTAATGTACTTCATACATTGCTTCAGATGCTGCTCTGCATGTGTTTTCTTATGTTACTGCAGTTGAAAGCATCTTTTTTAAAGAATTGAAACGCTTCCATCTTAGCTCGTTTGCGAACAACGGCATCACGACCTAAAGTTTAACAAAACCTACAGACATCACTATCAACCTGTCGACTATGCTCGTTCATGCTGGAAACTTTCAACCCGAATTCATCAGCATAAGATTGTTTCCAAGGCTAAGCTCGCTTTAGAGTTATTACAACGGTCACAAACAACAAAAACCACAACACTTGGCGCAAAATGTAACAGTTGAGCTTCTAAACGCAGTATCCCAGTTCTAGGAACGAGGATACTACGGCGGCGGAAGAACGACGTTCCTTAATACATCTCTATGATGTGACTCTAATATCTCACATTCTGGTATATTAACAATTTTGCGATATATTAAAATGGCCTTAAGAAGAATATCAGTGATATTCCTCTTGAACGTTGAACGCACATGTGATTAATGGTGTGCATCACACAATTAGTGGTGTGCATCACACAGATTAGGCATTTATTGTGAGAAGAGTAAGTTGCACATATCAATTCCATGAAATTGCGGATTAAATTAAAACTTTATATATATTTCGGTATCGAAAGGTTTCCATTTGACATAAATGTCTCCATGCACGACATTTTTTAAACCACGTGATGCATATTACGGCGAATATATGACAATCATACAACTAACAAGTAGTTTATTTAAGCATGTATATTTATGAAACTATGCAATTTTTGCAGATTTTAGAAAGTGACATACCCTAGATAGACTTACACTTTATTTCAACTTTATTTCTTATAAATAAAATTCACATATATGAAAAAAACTATTCTAAATTTCACAGGAAATAAAAGAAAACTTAGAATAAGCTTTTGAAATTTAAATTACAAAATTTATTTCATTTTCTCTAAGCCAAGCTTGTATGTCGATATGAAAGCGTCATACTAAATTACGTACCTAATGAATCAAAGATATATGGAAATACAATCTTTAATGCTTGAACTCTTCTTAAAAAATGATATTGATAAAATAGTGTAGAATTTATGGTGATGAACTCTTGATATGTGCAACATGCATTTTCAGTAATCTCCGTTAATCTGCGGGACAAATTGAATGGGAAATGAAGAGAAATTATCCCTGAAGTCTACCAGTTCTTTACTGTCGATACATGGAAATTTATCATTATCCTAGTTTACACACATGAAGGATAATGCAGGATCCGTGACCAGATAGTGCTCACATCACAGCATCTAACCCATGGACCGTACAACCAGATCCATGGCATGATACTCGCATAAAATAACTAATCTAGCATTGGATTGTGTTGGCTGACCAGCACCATTCACGGATTCTATCGATTGCAACCTCAATGAGATGGAAAGGGTGGCTATTACATGTTTATCTCTGGGATAAGTTGCCACGTATTCCGTTGTTCAAGGAGACTACATGCTCGAGAGACGAAGAACTTGTCTCCCATGAGCCTCATCTTTGCTCGTCCTTTGCATAATTCTTCACAAAGAGCTCGACATATGTGTTTTCGATCAATGATTGCGATGAAATTCTACGATGAAGGTCAACTTTAACTTATGCCTGAAGCGACCGACCATTATACTGCACATGACGACTCAATTCACATAGTTAGTCCTTCATAAGTTCAAGCGATGGACTTCTATTTTGTCACGAGATATGGAAAAAGATGACGTTGACAATGTCCACGACATCCTTTCCCCCTGATCACAGCTTGCTAAGAACGTCGTAAAACTCGGAACCTGAGTCGTTCACCGTACACTTTCCTAAACCCTGAACTCATCCTACATCTTAGTCCACGACATGTCGTTGACTATGTCAACTTGACATAGTCTTCTTCAAAAAGCAACTCAGTGAGGCTGAATAGGTGTCACATCTTAGCACAGGTGTCAGACTTGGACTCTCAGAGCTCATGTTAGAAAGAGAGCACTGGTAATGACTGCGTGCTATAACTTGGTTTCTTCGATCCATTTGTTCTTACCTTGCAACCCAATGTTCATCCGGAAAAACATATGTCAGCCCTCATTCGGGAACAAACGTAGTGAGTGTATGATAATTCGATAGTGAGTGAGTGCTAGCAGTCTCGTGGGTGTTAGCAATCTCGCAGGTGCTAGAAATTCACGGCAAATCTTATCCATGGTCGTTGATCTGGTCTAACTACTGAATCCTGCGCGTTCCTGGGTCTCGGAGTAGCACCCTCGGGCCAAGAGTGTGTGACTTTGCTCTGAATACGAGGTTTACAATTGCAATCCCCTCGGCGAATGCAATTGGAAGGGCAAGAATGATGCTTTCTGACGGTCATTCTGCTGCAGCCATGGCTTCCCAGGGATCTCGTCTGCGCTCAGTCGTGGGCATCATCATTAGTTGCATCCTCGTCTGGTTACCCACGACGTTTGCCGGTGGATTCGCGAGCGCTGGGGTAGGCGGGCGACGGCCGTTCGAGTACTTCGTCTTTCAGGACTGGGAGAGTCTGCAGCGTCAGGAAGGATGCTCACCGATGGGCGTCTCCCAGATCGTCAATTCTCCAAACGAGAAGTACGGCCTCGCACAAGCTATGTTGTGCCCGGATCGAGAATTATCTCCGTGGAACATCAGCTTCGTGTTCGGAGTGTCGATCAATCCATTGTCGCTAGACAATGGATTGTGGACGTGGACAGTTCCCGTCGATTTCAACCAACCCACCAACAGCTGCTCTCTTCGATTCACGGAAGATGGGGACTTGCAATTTACCGTCCCGATCAATCCCACGGACTATGGAAGTCCCGGCCCATGGACTCAGAGCCGTGTTCTGTGGAGCTCCAACACCAGTGGCCTGGGAGCCGTGGAGGTACAGGTCCAAGACTCTGGGAATCTCGTCCTCGTCCACGAAGATGGCAAGTCTGTCGTCTGGAAGGCTCTGGACATTCCCGTGCTGCCTCTGCTGCCGCTCAGTGAAGCTGCAACTTCGACAACCGGATATCTGAGGATTGCAATGTCGGCCGTTCTAGTGGCTCACGTGCTTCCGTTCCTCATCAGCTGTTTATGATCCTGACATACTTTTCCAGAGTTTGGACATTCCAGGTTTCTGAAAGGAGGTGCAGGTTGTTAACGGAAATCACAGAACCTCTGAGTAGATTCGTCTAAGTCACTCACTGAGCTTGACTGATACTGCAATTCTGAGATTGCATTTGTAATGTAAGCGGAATCTGTTGCGCTAGATCTAGAAGGCCAATTTGTACGGGGAGGAGGTTTGATTTTGCTTACCTCCCAAAAGTGATCAATGAAATTTAGACTTCATCCGAATGCTGTGAGCTATTGGAATCATATTTTTGAGCTCAACGAATTGGCATGCTTCTGCTTCTGCATTAGTGATACAAGGAATCGAACGAACGAGGAGTGTAGTATAATCCTTCTTTGGGGTAGAGGAATGAAGTACAAAACCCTGTTCGTTTGTATCAGATCCTAGATCCTCGATGGAGCTGGGGTAAACTTCAAGAAATGTCAGTGACGCTTGCTGATTGTGAAAGAAAGATCGACGGCTCATCAGATTCTTTATGACAGTGACTTCTTAGCCATTTGTAATCTGTTGTGATGAACAGCGAACACAAGTCAAAGTCTCGTACGTGTCTTCTGCATCGAGCAGCTATGCAAACGTCGGAACTGACGCGTCTACGTGATCACAGCTTGCTAAACTGCAGGCTAGAGCAACCCCGACCGTATGACTTTGGACTGACGGCATACGGTCATCGTCGTGACGGTCTCTCCTTTGTCGCCGTCGCGTCATGAAGCCGTCGAGCTCGCACCCTCTACTATTCAAATTCGACACATGGTCAGTAGATGCGAGACACGTGTCAGAGACCTGCACATTACCCCCATTCACACTACCCTCCGGTCAATCCGCGAGATCACCACCAATCGCACAGGCGCTGCAATTATCCTCCCCCTGTAACGAGCTCGGGCTCAGGCACACCCGAGGGCGAAAAGAATTCATGGTAGAGTGCAATTGCCCGTCACTGCCCTCGCCTTGCCTGGCGCTCACCCCACCTCCCCTCAAATCAGTAATAATTTCTGAATCCGAAATTTTTCTCCAGCCGCTGCTCGAGATCGAGTTCGACTGATTGCAAATTCAAAGTTAAATGAGGCAGCAAGCAGCAGCCACTGAAACGATGCTGCTGGAGCTGCCGCTGCATCCTTCTGCTGGAATACATGGAAAACTAAAAAATGGCCTCTTTTTTTTTTTGAAGGAATAAACGAGGAACTTTGAAGCTCATTCAAGCAGATTATGGATCTCGAGACTTTGCAACCATTTTCAAAAATGAACGAAAATTTTCCATGAATTGACTTTGCTTCATCTCTGAAGAGATAAAACACCACATCAATAATGGCAGTAGCAGATGATGTGTTACATTATCCTATGTCATAGTTGGTTTTCGAAATGCCACAACACTTCTTCTACCTTTCATTTGTTGACTTCTTCCATCATGTACACTCACGGCAGTGATCCCCTCCGAAGCTCTATCGAAGGAAATATCTGATCGGCCAATTTAGCTTTACACTTGTGAGGGTCTGATAGCAGACTTTTGACCTCGACAGAAGATCACACCCAACAGCTCAAACGCCGTCAAACTGAAATGCAGAAATGCGGCTATAGTGGATCCAACACTCCATACGGGACTCAGATGTGACGATCAGAACAAGCAATACAGTCATCAAAAAGAAACTACAATTTGGTCACAACACAGTACCATCATGTTGACACAACCAAATTTAGTGGCTAGAGGATATGAGGCCCAGTACAGGTGACAGGCGACTAGGATCTTGTTATATTGATAGTGTGGACGGGAGAGTATAATTTGCTCATAATCTCCAGCGGTGTCGATTCACCAATTGAGCTGCTGTAGTTACACGTCCTCATGGACTCTTCCTCCTCCAGTTACTACGCGAAAGTGCTGCTTTAAATCTATGCCCCTCAGACGGAATTGGTGTGGGACGGGGTATCTAGCTCATCAGGGGAAGTTTGATAAAGCCAACGGAGTGTACGCTTGTTTAGAATTTCTTACAGAGATTTTGAAACAACTGAGTCTCACCACACAATTCGGTGCAACTATTTCGAAATGAATGTATTACTTTTCGATTTTTGTCTTCATGCAAACTCAGGAGACCAACAGTTAGTCGGTTATAACTCAGAAATACAGCGTTATCAAATGTTCGGTATCGGGTTCAGATGAAAAGAGTCAGAAGGCATCCCCCGAGTCGCCTCATTGATGGCAGCTTGGAACGTAGATGTGACTATAACCGACTCTGCTGGTAACCAGTTTCTCTCATATTATTTCTCTCAACTAAGCAAAATTCGAAACCCCGCCCCATCCCTCAAAGCAGCGAGTACAGTAAAACAATTACCTGCCCCCTACAAACGCATATGCACCTTGCAAGCGCCTAGCATGAGCTTGAATGCAGGAAATCACTCGCCAAATCGATTTAAACGCGAAATTTCCTAGGTGACGGTGACAAATCAACGGTGTACAGTCGGGGTTGATCTAGCCAAAAGCCTTGCTAAGAACGTCGTAGAACTCGAAACCTGAGTCGTTCACCACACACTATCCTATTTGATGTCGTTTTCTGTAGTATTATACGACAGCAGAAGTATAATACACATATGTGTACTCTCTGGGATTGGCTATGGCGGATCAGGCTACCTCGGAGGTGGCGATTTGTCGAAGGATTTCTCCATTCAAGCTGATGACTTACGATTGTCAGGGCATTTGCGTTTGTATGGGGCCAGGGTTTTTTCTGTCGTCGCGGCTTTGAGAGAATTGGCGGGGTTTCAAATTTTGCTTGGTATCCTTCTTTCTCCCAGGACTTTCTAAAAGCTCGATGTCAACCTTGCTCTCCGTTTCTCACCCCGTCCCTTCCCATCACTGAACCTTGCATGCTGTTTTTCTCTTCCGTCTGGGCTATCCTCCTCGTCTTCCTCTATCCCAGCAGGACATAAGCTTCGCATGTAATACCTCCTTTTTCCTGCTATGGTTTTCGGAATCGTCTACCCGGAAGGGTTTCAAAAAAGCGCAACAGTCCCGACCCTGTCGTAAGACGTGTATGTTTACCATCCGTGCCCATGTCTACAATCAAATTAGTGGCGATTAATTGCTGCAGTAAGTGGCGATGGGTGACTTCCTGCAATTTACTGAAGTGGGCAGTGCTGAAGAAGAGGTTTCCTCGATGTGCCATAGTGGAAACAGAAAACCCCTCTCGAATCTTTAGAGAGTTTAGAGCAGTAACTCACGGTGTGGAGGGTGAACATCTCTACCTTTTTCAAATTATGTATATTGAAGAGCCTGGTACATCATTTGGGGTCACACACTCCTGTCAACCTTCTCTGTCGATGCACAACTAGTGGCTTTCACAGTCCAGCAATCCGATCAGCCCGTCCTGTCCGCGTTTCCTAGACAAACCTTTCTCCCGTCCAACCTCACAGAGGTGGCGAGATCTCGGGTAGTCAAACAACAACAAAAAACTTCTTTTTCTTCGGCAAGTTTGTTCAAGAGGTGGAGAGAGATCTCGGATTTGGCCCGCCTCCGTCCATCTTTCGATGTGTACACATGCATGCATTTAGTAAAACGCAAAGCTTAAAAAGCGCACGGAATGTCATCATTGTTGTCGAATGTTAGAACCTCCGACAGAACAGGTGGTTTAAGTGATTTGGCTGCATCGATTGACGAAGAAGGCAATCTTGCTGAAACAAAATATGTGACTGCAATTGTGCTTTCTTTTGTGCTTATGGGAGAATCTTCACGGAAGACGAAGATAGGTTGAGAGCTTCGAGGAATTTCTAAGAAGCCGTTCAATGCATCTATTTAACATGACCTCCGATTTCCAGCACTTTATCGCTGGCTGCTCCGTAGCTCCTTTGTCGATTAGAGGGTTTAGGGTGGGTTCGATTTCTCAGACAAGGCAGTCACTCTGATAAAAAGGATTTTACGGAATAATGAGAAAATTAAGCAACATCCCTGTGATCGATGCTAGACATGAACGTGTATTGCAAATCACGTCTCACAAATCAACCCGTACCATTGATGAGCGCGATTACATAGTGTTCAGCGCTTTGCCGCCTAGGCTCCTTAGCAGATTTTGTGTTCAAAACTCTATACTGACAGCTTTTGGTTTCATTCGATGGTTCTTTTGAGTCTTTCAACTCCCAGAAGTAATTCGTATTAAGCTATAGTGTCACTGAGAACAAGATCCGGACTTGTTGACTCATGAATCTTACTGCTCAGAAGCTCTGATATCCTTGTTTGGTTTCGCTAGATGGGTGCTCCAACGAAGGAGCGTTCCAAAATTTGAACAAGCTGTTTCTATGTCCCGCACACAGTATTCTTCAATACAGACGAAAGAATAGTTCGCTCTGGGTTGAACACACTGCTGACGAGAATACTCGCCAAAGATACAAGAAAATGAACCCGCACTAACGCTCTTGTCGCGCACACTATTCCATCGCGCCGACACGTGTCACACATCCGCTGTACATGTGTCGAATTTATATCCCGAGAGTGACCGCTGGACGGGTGATTTCTTGATGCGACGGTGACAAAGGAGATATCGTCACGACGGTGACCGTATGCCGTCAGCCCACAGTCATACGGTCTGCAGTCTAACAAGATTGCAGGCTAGAACAACCCCGACCGTAGGATTGTGGGTTCATGGTATTAGGCTTGGCCACAGTCCGGACCGACGGTTAACCGATCCCAAATTTCTCCGCATCGGTTAACCGGTCCGAAAAGAAAATTTACTGTAGGTACCCAATTCGCGAGAAAATTTTATCACGAATTGAGAAAAAACTCTCCTGACTTGTCATTCAGCAAAACTCAGATTAAGATCCGCCATGATTCAATCGGGGTGAGGTGACGATCAATGTCAGTCATGGGTTAGAAAAATCGCGTCGGGATGATCGATCTGAACACCCTTGACGTGCAGAGGGTCCCCTCGGCCCTCCCCATCTCTTTCCCTCCGCCATCACTCATACTTTGTTTAAGTTTCAAGAACGAGCTGACGATCGACGGGAACATGATCAGAGATTAGACAGAAGCATGAGTCGTGAGAAGGAAAAATCCAAAGCACAGCAGCACTCATGAACTAACATGCGAGGGTATGAAAGTCATTTCGCAGATACAATTTGTCTGACTTTGCTCCTGCCCACTAACTCCAACCTTACAGTACTCACCCGCACACTCAGCTTTTCACAGTTGCAAAGACTTTATGTATAGTTGGACTCCAGCCACTCGGCTTCGACGTTCTCCTGCCTTTGAGCAGCAGCAGTCGGTCAGTCAGTCACTGGTACGACCGAGCTGCCCAAATATCACCTTGACATCTTTATCCAGCTTTC